TAAGATAAGATAAGATGATTTTATTAAGCCAAGTTAAAAGAGCGATTTGTTACATTTCACACATTTTTTTCAGGGATGAAAGTCTTTGTCTTTATACCTGGCATAACCTACAGTAAATCAACGGAAAGCAAGTCATGCTAAGATGATTTTATGAGTATTATTTATACATAATAAATATTTCTTTAGCCTGAAAAAATTGCTGTTTTTTTTTCTTGTTTTTTTTCTTTCTATAAAGTAAAAGTAATGCTTGAAAGTAAAAGAAAAATAATAAAATAAAAATGTTTGGATGAAATCCCAACACAGACATCTGAGAGTTTTCAAGATACTGAAGGAGATTTCCTTAATGCATATGAAAATGTCTTAAGATGGTCACACTGAGAAGCCTCACCTATGTGTCTGTAAAGAGCTGGTGTTACACCTTGCCAAAGTTTCCTCACACCCTCCTCTCTAGCTGTAAAAAATTTTTTATCAACTTTAAGTTAGGTTAAAATTGTTTACGTTCTCAGGATTACTTTCCTACCATCTGGATGAAAAAGTATGTACTCAGAGTTATGTCCTCAGTTATTTATTTGTACATTCAATCTAAGGGTTTTCCTCCAACATCCGTTCAAGATTATTTTTATACAAATTGGTCATTGGACTGGAAATGACTTGACTTTTTCAAAACAGACTGGACTCTGCTGCAATATAAGTAAATTTCTGACAATAGGTCACTTTGAAAGGAGATTTATTATCGTGTTGGTGAAGTCCATCAAATCTGACATAACTTCCAGGAAAATAATTTCAATTTGCATCCAGTGTAAATGAAAAATGCCATTTAGTGTGCTTAATTTAACTATACATAGTTTTGAGTCTTAAGTTGGTAAACTGTAAAACAATAGCATTTATATATATATTGAGCATAATAATAAAAATAATGAATTTTGTAATTGTAATTGTAACTGACATTTCATGAAAAGGACATAATATTTGAGTTGTCATCTTTTTTGTTGGTTTCCTCTGAAATCTGCTTGAATTAAAATATATTTTGTCAAACTTAATATAATTGCCCTGTTTACTTTTCTGAGGAAACTTTTAAAAACTACTTAGAAAGCACATTAGAAAAAATACAGATAAAATTCTGTAACTGAAGTAACATGACTTTGTAACTGATGTAATGTATCTGAAAGCAAGCAATAAGAAATAAACAACAATTTCAATTCTTTTACATAAATTACAAATATTACTGTGAGCAGAAAAAAATGTACTTACATAAACAAAAATAACAGGTTTTACTGCTAATCCATTAAGTGACATGGAACATGACAATAAAAATTGTATGTCTATATTTATCTGATGTACCGGTAAAACAAAATGAAATTCAACAAAATTTCAATTAAATATGCAGCGAACATTTCTTAATTCAAGATGGCCATTTTAGGGTGTTGAGTCCACACAGTACACAAGCTTACCTATTCCAACTGCTGTGGCTATCATTCCACGGTGGTGGGATGATTTTCCGTGGACATCTTGAGAAAATTCTCCTTGAATTTGCAGACGTGTCTTTGTCAAGTCAAGAGGATAAGTTACTGTATTCAATATAAAAATTTTTAATAAATAGTTTTCACTGTTTCTTGCACACTAATAGCAGAGATCATAATAACGCATCAAAACAAAATAATGATTTTTTTTCAACTGGTAGAAAAAGAAAATAACTATGAAACTTATAGTTTTTATAAAAGTATGTCAGATATTATATAGGCCTACTTATTCTTAGGAACTGATGTGATCAGACAGATAATAATTCCAGATTATAATGAGGAGGGGGAGGAGAAGGAACAAAAGAATTTCTTTGACAATGTTTTCACTGTAAGTGTTGGAGTAATGATGCTTTGAGGATTTTTTAAATCAGAGAAACTATAATTTCAAAACTGTCTTATTTTATTCTGTCAGACTGAATTGGACATAGACTCTATGCCATAGACTATGGCCAATTCAGTCAGAAGAAGTAGGCTATATTTCAGAATAAAGCCAGAGTATAGTGCTTTGCTTTGGTTTAGTATAGTATGGTAATGGTACTATACACTATTATAGTTATAGTGTATAGTATAGTGTCTATAGTCTACAAACTATAATGTATCATTACAGTGTCTATAACTATAGTCTATAGTCACGTATAGTAGCTCTATAGTATAATAGAGATTATATTAATATAGATAAGAATAAGAATTAAGATTATACAATACTAAACTATATGACGACTAGATTATTTTAGATAGTCGTTTACGTACCTGATTCTGCTATTACCGCTGCTGTCGCAGACAATGTATACTTAAAGATAAAAGATTCATGGTTGATATTTTTGGAAGAAAATGTCGTGGGCATATTCGCAGATTAATAGTAGTAGTTTAGTAGTTGTAGTAGTAGTGGTAGTAGTTCAGATGTACCGCACAGGTGACGATGCAACTCTGGGATCAGCTGTGTTTACATTCTGAGTATGCGTGGTGATTTTTATACGGTGAAGACTTGGAAAATTGCCGTTAAAAACTGTAGTCTCCTTTATTAATGCTTATGACTAACTTATGAACACTTGTTTTTTACTTAAGTTTTTTATGACAATTTGTGCCGATTTCTCCACAAAATCTTTTCCTATTACTAGCTTATTACTAGCATTAGTTCTAATTTATGTTTAAATTAATATAAAATCCAAGAATATATGTGAAGAATATAGGCATAGGCGAGAAACCATATCAATGGTAGCCCATTGGCATTGGCTTTGTGATTATAGAAATATTGGCTCTGTGCGGAGAGAACCCATTAACTATGTGAAGAGAGAACACATTAACTCTGAGGAAAGAATCCACTGGCTCTGTGACTATGTGAGGAGAGAACCATTTGGGTCTGTGAAAACAAAACACATTAACTCCATTGGAGAGAACTGTTTTTACTTCTGCAGCCTTCTTCCGATAAGTCTTTTAGTGCACGGATTACGCCGACTGCAAGTCAGAATAAGTATGGTCAGTGCATGCCGCACTGACACCGTTTTAGAGCGTTATCTGCGGGGGCTTGTGTGCAGTCGGCGGAGACGTTCTTAGGATTTTTGGGGGGCCTAGGCATGAAGCGTAGGTAGGGGGCCCCGAAAGGGGGGGGGGAGGTCCGGTGGCGGAGCTCCCCCGGAGCTGAGGAGAAAACACCACCCACCGCTGCGGCACTGCCTTCACTGTTTCCTCTTTTCTCGCATGTAACCACTAACCATATTGATAATTCCACCACAAGAGAAAATGTGTACTTCTGAAATTGTGTACTTGCAAGTTATAGGCTAAAAAAACCTACTAGGTCGCCTAGTTTTCGTATGCCTAAGAACGGCTCTGCAGTGAGAGTACCGTGGCAAAGTTAAATCAGCTTGACAGCTTTTTTTTTTTTTTTGGGGGGGGGGGGGGTATTGCATGTATTCCATTTGCTACCAGGCCATTAGGGGAAAGTTACTATTATTATTATTTAAGTGGTCTTACAAAGCGTGGTACCACAGTCTATGGCTAGGTTCACCGCGTTTCACATAAAAATGAGCAAAAAGAAACATGCAGAGCCGTTCTTAGGAGTTTGGGCCCTAAACATGGAGCGTAGGTTGGGGGCCTCGGAAGGGGGGGTCCGGGGGTGGAGCTCCCTCGAGCTGAGGAGAAAAGACCTCCCACCACTGCGGCACCTCCATTCTGCCTTCATCAATGTTTCCTCTTTGCTCGCGTGTAACCACTAACCATATTGATAATTCCGCACTAGAGAAAATGTGTACTTCTGAAATATATGGACATGCAGGAGGTAGTGGGGCCCTACGCGGATGCGTAGTCAGCGTATGCCTAAGAAAGGGCCCGAAACATGACATTAAAAACAGTTACAAAAACAGTTACATGTTACCCGTTGTTCCGTTTTCAGAGGGTCTCCTAAGATTTTCCTTTTAGTCTTTTCTTATTGCCTATTTGAAGCGATGTGTGAAGTGGTTGTGTGGTTAGACTCTTCCTTTTTTCCACCGAGAAAGCCTGGCTTCCAGTGGTTCCATATCTGCTGTTTTCTATTGGTGTTCTTCTCAATGTTCTTGCCGACACGTTCGCTGCTTTTCCCCTTCTTTTTATAGGTTTCCCATAAGCCGTATTTATATTTCCTTTTACTCAAACCTGACCGCAGTCCTCCCCAATATCACACCTTACAACCAACAAAAATATCAAATTAATTTTGCAGAACAGAGAAAAGCAATATCGCGGCCAATGACTGACAACTGTGGCTCAGAGGAACAGAGCACTTAAAACAATCTGTAATTTTGCCCTCATCTAGAAGCAATCCACCAACATTGCTGGCCAAAGGACACGGGTGTGTGTCAGTATGAGTACCAACCTCTGGGACCTGCCGAAAATCTGATGACGATTGAATACTTTTTATATGCTATTTTAGCATGTTCACAGCGCTCTGATGTCCTAAAATCTATTAAAAGAAAAAAAGGTAAATGTTTCTTAAATGAATTTTTATCATTTTCAATTTCCCTCAAAGATTGAGTCAAACTTTTCCATGAATTAGGCGCAATAGTTTCAAGAGAGCGCACTCTGTCTGACTTCTTTTTGTGTCCATCCACACTGGGAACTCTCAGTAAGGACTTTGTTAAAGAGCGCAGGTTCTGTATGGATACATTTTTAGAAATCAGTTTTTGAAGATATTCAGTTGCAAAGCCCTTCTATACAGCTATAAGTCAGGAACAGAATTTTGTGGCCAATGCGCTCACTCACAGGAAACCAGTGGAGATCTTTAAGAACTAGGTTGATGTGATCACATTTCTTTATACGCAATGCAATTAATATTTTTTATAGTAAAACATCGGCTCTGTCATGCGTAATATTCCATAATTTGAATATATTTTGGTGGGACATATTTTTTTTAAAATTATTGACTCATCTCTATCCAATATTGCATCCATTATTATTAATTTGCAAAAAATGACGTCGATTATTAAAAATAAAGAATACAAATTTCCTTTTACACCGCCTCGGGCTCATAGAAAGTTTTTATTTCGTACTACAGCCATTAACCCGAAATGGGCAATGTGTAGATTTGGGATCTAATGATTTAACTTCAACTTTAATATGTCATTTAATGTGAATACAGTTTAATTGTGTTAACGTGTACATTTTTATTTCTTGATTGGATAATATATTGGTCTAGCACTTATTCAATTTAGAACTAATTGAAATTAATTTACCTACTCGGATTTATACTTGTGTGCCAAGCACATAACAGTGGGAACAATTTCAAGATGGAGGCCACGGCGCTTTGGGATTTTGAAGCAACACAAACAGACGAAATGAGTTTTAAAAAAGGCAATAAACTATGTGTAAGTTGTACTCGTCCGTCTAATTATTGTGGTATACATTAATTCATTCTTTATTTAAATGACTGCGTCTGTTGTATAGCTTATAAGCGTTTATTCAGGATTTTTTCTTCTTAGGCTTTCAATGAGGCCCGAATTATTATCAGTATCACGTAGCCCATAACGAACTTCCTGGTTGATTTTGACATAAATGAATTCTAAGTTGTAAATAAACCTGTTTTTATTACTTATTATTTTCAGATTTAAGTGTTAACATTGGCGAATAAGAAAATTTAATTTCTCTCTAGGCAGTCTTGAGTCCAGGCCTTGGCCTATCAAATTTAATAACCTAATACTAATACTAATACTAATTTAGTATTAGTAGTAGTAGTCTAATACTAATTTAAATTTAGTATACTATTAGTAGGCCTACTAAAATATAACTAAGACTAAGTCACTAAACTAAGCCTACAAAATGCATATTATTTTTTAAATAAATGATAAGAGCTAGCTGCCTAGATTTACATAAATTTGAACTCTCTTATTATTTCTTTGTTATTGTTAAGTATTCTGTGTCATTTGACTAGACCCGTGGGCATGTTTTTTTTTTTCAAGCTGTTGATTTTCTGCTGAGGCTCATCTCATGAAGTAGTGGCAGTAGTTGTAGGCTGTTGATGCTTCACTGCCATTATCATGCCTACTCAATAATATATTGCAGACCTGTTTACTCGTACGATTTTGACGTACAATGTACAATTTTGAGGTGTATACATTATATACACTGATGTTTATTTTACTATTAAGATAATGTATTGATTGATTTTTTGATGATATTGTACGATTTTAAGAGTTTGAGGGTAAACAGGTCTGATATTGTATCTCATGTAGACATGAAGTTCAGTCCTTTCTTTGAATTGGTCTAGATTTTCTGGCTCCACCTGGCCATGCCTTAAATGCTGATTTGGTTATTCTTATTGTTCACCTTTGCATCAATTGAGAGTGAGAAGGATATGGGGGACCCAATGTAATGATGTTCTTAACAACTTCCAGGTTCTAACCCCCCCCCCCCCTACTATAATGCTCCCCTTCCATTATGGTCCCAGTGCAAGGATTAAATTTTTGGCATCATAGGGGTACTAACCAGTTTCTTCAGTGAGTTTTTTGTTTTTTTTTTTGCTGGCATCCATCCGTCACTATGTGATGATGCTGAAGACTTCGCTGGACGAAATCCACAAGGCCTAGGATTGTTCTTCTAGGATTATAAGCTGGTTCCCAACTGCAAATTGCCTCTCTCCACGCTGCTGGATGACCCAAGGGAAAATCATGTGGATGATACAGCTTGTCACCAGTGGCGTCAAAGTTGTTGGAATGTTTCATTGTATCAATGTTATCCACCTAAAGGACTCCATCTTTGGGTTTGAATTCAGAGTTTCCTTCTCATAGATGAGTTGCCATCCAAGATTAACGAGTCCCATCCACCCGGGTTGCTGGTGAAGTTTTTGCTTGACTGGGCTTTTGGCTGGAATTGAACTCCAGACCATCAACTTGAGAGTTAGACCACTCAGCACCCCAATTATATTAATAATAGACTATTATCACTGCAAGGGGTTGTTCACAAATTACAGCATGCTCGGGTGGGGGATTGAGAATTTGTGACACTTTGTGATGGGGGAGGGGGATGTCAAAAAATGTTTGCTTTTTTCTTTTTTTAAAATCTAAAATTGTCTAATTTTGAAAAATCTTTATTCAATTAATTTGTAAAAACATTAATTTGGGATTGAAATTGCCTCAGGTATTCCTATAAGTATTGCCTATAAGTAACGTAAACCCTTTCGCGCACACTTTCTGGGCATATAGAAAAATAACGCAAAAACTGTTGTGGCCATTTTACTTTCGACGCAGAGAGGACTTTGTTGTTTTACGTCCCAGTTTTCTAATACTACTATATTTTAATCCATTATGGGAAAATGTTAGAGAATATAAAAAAATCTTAGTTTAGTTATGCAAATTTTATGTATGTTTTGAATTTTTTAGGTGTGATGTGACCCGGGGTGGTTGGGTGTAAAGAATTTGTGACGGGGGTCGGGGGGGTCTGGAAAGGTCATTTTTTAGTGTGACGTAATTTGCAAACGACCCTCAAGTAGATGCTGCAGCTCAATAGTATTGACAATACTTCTAATTAATTTTAAAATTATATTAAACGGCCTCAATTATTTACTAAACATATTTTAATTTCACAATACATACATAATAAATGATATGTGGGCCAAGTAGTGAGCTAAATTAATCTGTAATCGAATTATTAGGTCATCATAGCAAAGCTAATTTTGATACATCAAAAAAGTTCCATTGTGCTATGAAGAAAAATGATTTTTTAAATAGGAAAACTCTTATTAATTCAAGTTCTTTCATCTGACTTTAAAAGTAGTTTTAATATCATTGTTGATGTTGGTTTAAAACTTTCACACAGATTATGAGTAACGAGGATGGTGGATGGTACAGAGCTATCATGGGAATGCAGACAGGATTTATTCCAGCCTCTTACATAAGAATGGAACCACATGAGTAAGCTATTTACAAATTTAAAAAAAAAAAAATTATTCAAACTAAATACAGAGACTTATATATTATTATGGACAACTTTATTCTATAATTATACTTGGTTCAAACTCATCTTTACTATTATAATGTTCTTTAGGTGTACTTTCTTAATGTCAGTAATGAACGGTAAAATTGACTTACCTCTCTGTTTTGCAAATAACCTAACACTGGTCACTGGGTTTATTTATTTTAGAAACTCCGGAACCATAATAGTTTTTAGGAAGATCATCTGTATGTTTTCTAATTGATGGTAGTCAATGCTAAAACACCCTAAAAGGTCATGTTTTAAGTAACCTTTGAACATTGTCTCTTCACTTGTGCCATTTCCCTTTATTAAAGATACCTTAATTTCATTAGAATCGTTTTGAATTTTTAAAAATAATAATTATTGTTACTGTTTTTATATATATATATATATATATATTTATAATATTTTTTTAAAATCTATTTTTCAGTTGGTACAGAGAGCCAATGACTAGAGCAGAGGCAGAGAAATTTATACTGCAGAAAACTTCAAGTGGTTCATTTTCATTTGTAGATGGGGCTTTTATAATTAGAAAAAGTGAATCAGACAGAAATGGCTTTGCCCTCTCAGTAAAGTAAGTCTTTTATAATTGTGTTTGGGATTTTACTTCTAAATTGTCGGCGTTGAAATGCAGTATAATTAATGCAAAAATTTTCTAATGGAAATGAAAAAAAAACATATTTATCTGTGTGCTTTAGATTGAGTGATGCCAACCGATATTTCTTCATTTCTTTCACACATTCATTTTTTAGTTACCCGGTAACTGTAAGTTAAGCTGAGAAAATTGAATTTCAGTTATTGTTAGTATTAGGTTTGGTTTGACTTGTGATCACTGATTCTCAATTAATTCAGTTAGAATTAACTGTAACACACATTATTTGTATTTTTTAAATTATGAAATTAATGGTATATGTGGTTGAATTCCATTTTAGCTACAATTTTTATTGTTGCATTATAGTTGCTTCCTGATGTTTTAAGTAGGAACTGTCTGTATGTATCTAGTCCAGAAGTTTTCTCCATCCCATATTCTGCCATGTTTCTGTTGTATTTTTTGTAGACATGAAGACACAGTCCAACACTTCAAAATTTTAACAGATTCCAACAACAAATTCTACATTTGGCCCACTGCAGTATTCCCTTCAATTAACCAGTTAGTTGAAAAGTACCGTGCTGAAAATGTATCTGGCGATCCAAGGAAGATAATATATTTAAGAGATATCAAACAAGAGGTATAACATCTTTTAACAAAATTTCTTTGGGAAATAGAGAAAAAAAAAATTAAGTTCTCCCATTACAACTATTACAAGAGAAATTGTACTATTTGTAGTTATACAGCCAACAATAGGGCTTAAATGGGTTCATTTTCTTATCTATGTTTTTAACATATCCGACAAAAAATATATGTTGTGCTGTTATATTCTAAATACATTATATATTTGAAATACTCTTATAGGAGTGTTAATGCCATGTTTTAATGCCATAATCAAAATGCAGTTTTATTTTTACACACCATATAAATATACTTATTGTATTAACCACTGTGAAATTGGTTTTATATCAATTGTGTAAAATTTGTGAATGGCAAGATGAATAAGGTACAATTTCCCTTTTTTCTCCAGTTATATGAAGCAATGTATGATTTCTCCCCTACTAATCAAGAAGAGATAGAACTCAAGAAGGGAGACATCATCCGACTTATAGCAAAGAGTGACCCCAACTGGTGGGAGGGAGAAGTTCGAGGAAAGACTGGATTCTTTCCAAAAAATTATGTCAAAGAATACAAGTAAACATATTGATAATTGTTTGAAACATTGACAGAAATTTTTTTTTTTCAAGATAGAGAGTAGTGAATGCATGATTTTTACTTAAGAAACGTACTTAACAAAAGTAATTTTATATTTTTTTTATCATACAAAGAATTGTGTTTAGAGCTTTTTATTCTATGACTGGTGAAAAAGAGAAATTTCATTAATTATTTGTAAATTTGGATGGCAATGTATGTAATAGCTGCAGAGTTTCATGTGTGCTTTCAGTTAGATATATTTTATTAAAGGTTTAAAGGATGGTAAAATTGTCTCAAAGTCATTTTACACTCTAAGCATCTCAAAGCACATTATGTCAATGGTCTTAGAGTTAATGGTTTGAATAGCACAAACATCAATTGGGCTTGGCCCATTTCCCAAACTAATTTAGAGTTTGCTTTTCTTAAATTTTTTATTGGAGGAATAGTTGTTGGTGATTTTAGATTTTCATCTCAAAATTTCTAGGATTGATAGATGAAGCGCTTCTCACCAGCTTTTCAATATTTCATGTCTACTATAGTGATAGAACTGTGTTAAGAGTTTAAGCTATGAATAGGTAAAAGCCTACTCGTTTTTTGAGTAGTGCATTTTATCTGAAGATATATCCACAGATTCATGCATATATATATATATACAAAGGATGCTTAACTATCTCATTAGAAATTAAAATGTGGCATTAACTATGATGTCCATTTCCAATAAAAACATTTCAAGTCTTGGGAGATCTGTAATAAAATCAATTAATATATATCACCTTGAGTCTTGTCATCAGCATTCATAAAATAATTGAGGTACAATTTTAAAATGCATCTATTTTTTAAAATGTCAAATCTCCCTGACACAAGAAGATATCACCCCACACATGGTGTTGGTGTACATGGCTTGCTAAGTGAGTTATGGTCACTAAACCTGATTGGTTAAAATCAGATTTCTAAAAGCACTCATCAGTTTGCCCCAACAAAGGATTAACATCCTTAATATATTAAGAAAACATATTCATATTTATTTTGTTACTTTTAAAATTTATGTATTGTTAATGAAAAGTTGTTATTTTCTGTTAGTTTAGATGGATAGAACATAAAACTGTTTGCTTTGAAAATGGTATATTTTATGGGAACCTTTATTTTTGGAAATTATAACTCCGGGACTGCATGTGTGAAACACAAACATGTTTTTTAATAGATGATTATCAGTTTTTTTTAATGACATGGCTGTTTTATTCTGCATTCCTCCAGCACATAATGTGGTCATTTTACACTCTTTGATGCTTAAAACAGTCACCTCAAAAAAAACAACTCACTCCTTTCACACACACACACACACACACACACACCCCCCCCCCCTGTGATCCCAAATGCTATATCATAAGTATTTGTATATATATGGCAGAAATCTTGTAAATACATTAAAAAACAACCCCCCCCTTTCACACACACACACACACCCACACACACCCCCCCCCCCCTGTGATCCCAAATGCTATATCATAAGTATTTGTATATATATGGCAGAAATCTTGTAAATACATTTCTGAATTTTTCCACCACAGCTGAAAATTGGTTGACAAAGAGACCTATTATTATTAGCAAAAGAGCTTTAAGACATAATTATTTTTTTTTAAATAGTTTTTGTAAGTATTTACATATGTATTCCACATTTTACAACTGATATACTGTACTATCTTACCAACCAAAATTAGAGTGAACTTTAATCAAAACTAAACGTTTGAACAATTAATATGTTAATAAAAATGTTATTCTTACTTTTATGGAGGTTCTTAGTTGTTATGACTACAATGAGGTAAAGTGTTTATATTGTTATTGCTATAAGTATGAGTTACGTGGTGTTAATTTAAAATGAATGATATGTTTGGCTGGGTCATGTCATTTGTGATGCCATCAAAAGGAAAGTTGGCTGTTTTTTTAATTTGTATGTGAATGCTGAAACACAACTTTGTCTTCCTATCCACAGTCAAGCAGAGGGATTAATTCATTAATATGTCTTCACTTTGTGATTATACCTAGCAAAAACCTGTCTGTGTTAAGGTGTAATGGAGATGCCAAAACTACTGTTGCCATTGATATAAAAGAATGAGTTGGGTGCCTTTAAACCACATCATGTTATTGTTACTGTATAGCGTTTATGCTGGGCGTGTACAGAGAAAATCTATTTTTTTAAATGGCACTAGTGGTTGTATGTTTTTTATCTTGTGTGTGTGTGTTTTTTTCCTCCTACCCTCTTACATTAAGGTATTACTGTACACGATCTGATGAATAAACCTTGACCCATATTTCATTAGACCAATCATTGATAAACAAATTAGTTAATAACTGCAGTTGAAGCTGTTGCAGACAGAAGTAAAGTTTAGAGTTGTTGAGCCGGCAAGTCTTCCATTTAGGCAGTGAGCTCTTGCCTAATTTGTTAAAGTTAATGGAAGATTTCTGCTCAGCCTGTTTTATTACATCACTGGTTGCTTTCAGTCGTTATGTAACACATTATTTCTAATGGGAAAACAAATAATAATTGATGTGGTCTATTTTTTTATTATCTGACTTTGTTATTGCTAAGCTATTGTAGTCATGATTCCCCACAATTGAACCAGATTTAACAGGTTCTTTCCTACTCCACAAACTGTGAGACATTGTTACAAGAGACTATTTCACGGATGGGTTATTCACTAATTTAGGTGCAGCGTGTTGCTCACCATAGTCCTAGGTTACATAAAATTCCTGGATACACGCTCCCATTTTTTTAAATAGATAGTGCCAATTAAATTGTCATAGAATATCTTTTAAGCATAATAAGAATTTGTTGTCAAGCAAGCATATTTCATGTAGATAAGCATAACACTCTTTAGCACAACCATCATTGTCATTCTCAAGCAGTTTACTATCATAGTTTGGGTGAGAAGCTAGCATTATATCATTGCCTAACATGTATATTACTTTCAACTTAATATGTGGTGGCTTTAATTAAATTTTTTTTTTTATCAAGGTGAGCAAATTGAAAAAAAATATTCATATCTGTTTGTGAATTGTTTATAAACATGCTAAATTTAACTTGAAAGCTGTGTGACAAAATTTCTTTTGCACTGCACCAACATATCAACCTGTACTATCCATTGAAGGAAATTATTGTGTATCTGTTTCTTACTTCTGAAGACGACTAGAATTAAGTCACTACATAAATGGGCCCAATCAATGATTTCTTTAAAGATGATGTTATTTATTTATTTGTTGTAAATATATTTAGTATACATGTCTTACTTCTCAGTTACTGGAAAACAAATACAATTTTTTTTATTTGACAGAGCTTTTTTAATTTTAGGTCTTTTTGAACCTTCTTTTTTTTTAACTAAAACCTTGCACCCCAAAGAGTGTAATGATGAAAACAAGTCATGCAAATAAATTAAATAATGGCCTAATTTTTATTAAAATTTATGCTAATTCAACAGTTTAAGCATGTTATTTTATTTACTCTTTTTCAACTTGCACAACTGTTTCTATGGTCAAATTATTGGACTCTTCCTATGGACAAATTATTGGCTAATACTTGGCTGTTATTTTTAGTTGTTGTTTTTTTCCATTGACAGCTCTTTTGTTTTGTTGACCCTTGTGTAATGAGATGGAACAAATATTGTTACAAATCAACAGAAGTGAACAACTGATCACTTATTAAATTTAAGTTGGCATATCAAACTGCTATAACAAAGATGTCAGATCAAGAGACTTATCAGTTGCAGCTGACATCTAATATTCTTGCCATAGTTTTGTATACCATAAAAGACAATATTTAAAAGTTCAAAAAGCACCCAAAGTATTTTAAGAAACAAATTTTTGTTGTAGAACAAGTAATTAATTTAAACATCGGCTGGACAGACTATAGCAGTCCTGATCCCAACACAGGTAGCACCTTTCACAACATGAGCACTGCCACAGCATTGATGTCATCCATAATAACCATATTGTTGGTGGTAAGTGCATACTCTTTATCAGAATTGCCATGTTTGCCTCTAATTTTTTTTTTTTTTATGTCTCTTGTAACACTTGGTTTCTTTTTCCCCCCGTACTATTTTTAATTATGAAAATGAACACACTGGCTGCTTGACTAAAATAAAACCTCATATTTTTATTAAAACCATATTTCAACTGCTGTGTGAATATAATGCGTTTGATCTTTAGAATTGTCTGTTCATCACTTATTTAATTTAAAGTTTGTAAACGGAAATTAAGTAAATGTTTTGGTAAAATCAATCTAGCACATGTCCACATATTTAGAAGTGTATAAAGAATAGTTCAGAGACCTCTCGCTCCTTCATCATAAGTTAAATCAAAGAGTCCTCCCTCTCTCTCTCCTTCATCATAAGTTAATTCAAAGCTGTTGATGCTTTTAGGGGGTGTGACAATTTTATTTGCATTTTATTTGTATATTTTCAACTTAAAAACACTGTAAATTTCATTACTTGCCTTTCAGGTAAATAAATATACCTTTGATTTCTATATCATGATTGGCAAGCCAATTTGAATTATTTTTTTACATATGTATATAAATATATGTGTATATATATATATATATGTATATAAATATAGGGCCGTAGACAATTTTAATAAATAAGACTGTCCTCATTTAACTTTTAACATTTTCTGCTTAGGAACATTTGAAGCAGACTTGTAAAATATGCAGTCTGAAGAAATGAGCAGAAGAGGCCACCTGGCACTAGGAATAATTAGAGCTAGTATAGGCTTCTCCCATTATAACTATAACTTAGTAAAAGCTCCATTGTGTATAGTCACTTAACACATCCACTCATGACCAGTGACTAATAATTTCTATACAGCATAGCACTACACAAATAGAAATGTTATTTTTGCTGGAGTCAATGTGAGACAAGGAAGTGTAACTATCATGTGATAGAGTTATTATATTAATGAAACACAGTTGTAACAGTTGACTGGTTAAACGTCACTTATCTGTTGCCATGTCATACAACAACATCATTAGCAGATTGTTCATTCTTTCAATTTTATGTCAGGAGGATAAACAGAGGGCATGTTTCTTACTCTTTCCACAATCATGAACTCTCAGTGAAAATTGTTGTCTCGTGCTACACCAGAAATAAACTGTTAAGAAAACTGAAAGTGACTGTCCATAAAAGTTTCTTCCAAGGAGTGAAGGGGTGGGGTAAGAATAGTCCCCCCCCCCCTAAAAAAAAGGTTATGTGGTGGGGGGGTGGGGGTGGTGTTGAAAGTGGACTTTTAATTCACTGGTCAAAAGTTTAACTTGAGTGTTGCTTTTTTTTTTTTTTATCCTGTTCTGAATCTAAGTATTAGGTTAAAATGTAAAATAAAAGTATGCTATCATGGAACATGACATTTTGTAAAAAAAAAAGGTTATGTGGTGGGGGGGTGGGGGTGGTGTTGAAAGTGGACTTTTAATTCACTGGTCAAAAGTTTAACTTGAGTGTTGCTTTTTTTTTTTTATCCTGTTCTGAATCTAAGTATTAGGTTAAAATGTAAAATAAAAGTATGCTATCATGGAACATGACATTTTGTAATGTGCAATACTTACTTCGTATCTTGTCTTTGATATACTCAACAAAGTGTGTGTAGACCTTAACTCAGTTAAGCCAGGGATAGACTGATAGGTTGACAATTTTAGACCATGTTTAAGACCATGCGGAGTAAATGTCCACAACAGGAGAGGTCAACAATATTACTATCGACTATAGTTTACACAAAGTGGATGGGGTAAACAAATGCTGTGAAAGGCTCATCCATGTATTTTTTTAATGGTTTCTTTGGACCAGTGAAAACGCATTTAAGTACTTGACCATTTCAGAACCCCTTAGTATTAAATTCAATATCTCCTTCAGTCGGACCAATCCAGAAGCCCTCATTTCATAATTTAGTGTCTGATTCAGTTCCATTTTAGCAGTTTATTTTAAGTTTAACTTTAATACAAGTTTAGAAGTTTTTGTTGTGTATAACAGAATTGTAGACTTCAATAAACAATTTTTCAAAATGTGTACTAGGAAATAAACATCTATCCAGCCTGCCATTGAGCCATAAATAGAAAAGGATACTCTTCTAAATATATATTTTTTTTTAAATATATATTTTTAAAATTATTACTAAGCATTATTAAATTAATGCTTTAAAATTAATGCTATTTCCATTTTTTATGACACAATATTTGAAAGCAATAATTATAGAGTCATTTTTCAAATTATGAGTGAGTAGTAAGAAAGCAAAGGAAGAAAATAAACCATAATTATATGTTAAACCTATATGACTATAATTACTGTTGATTGTATCTCAATCCAGTACTGGAATCTGATAATCAAATTTTGCATAAAGCTTTGACTTTGAGCTATTGACAAAAACTTTTTCACTGATACTATAAAGTTTCAAAGATATGGAACTGTGTGAATCACAAATGGGTTTATATCTTGATTTTTCAGTAAAGCTAAACACAACTTAGCATTATACTTTAACATAAAGTTTACCAAACAAATTTTATTGACTGAAGTATTCTATAATTTTAGGCAGCTTTCATTTAAAAAAAAAAACAATTTCTGAAAGCTCTGTTACACCTGATTGAATTGGACAATGTGCTGTCAAAAAAATGATGAAAACAAATTTATCAAATGGAAATTTATATTTATTATTTAAATTTACACAAAAAAATGAGGGTACAGATAATATCAATTCTCATAAAACAAGACAATGTATCAATTTGCTTTCCTCTCAGCATTTAGATATGGAATTTGTTTTATCCCTGCTTCGAGATTTTTTACTTTTTTTTTTTTTTTTTTAAACAGGCCCTAATTATTGAACAAGTCCAAGTAAGAATATAAGCACTTTGCCTTTTTTTAAATATACTGATGGTTTCATGCTGATTTTTTTATTTTTTTTTTTATTTTTTAAACAGGCCCTAATTATTGAACAAGTCCAAGTAAGAATATAAGCACTTTGCCTTTTTTTAAATATACTGATGGTTTCATGCTGTAAACAAAGATAATCTATTAAAGCTACTGCAGTAGGGCAGGGAAAATTTCAAATATTACTAGACTGTCTGTGTCGTGGAATCCACAGCTTACTAGAGAGAGAAGTTGACCAGGGTACGCATGTTCAAGGGACCTCAAAGAGTGTGTGAGTAATAACAAGAGTGGAATGAGCTGCAAAGAATAGCTAGCAAATTTACAACAGACTATTGTTTGGGAATGGCTTATTTTAAGGGCCCACGATCAATGTATTAATTTTATCATTCTTAGTCTTACCAATGCCTTCAATGTGGTCTTTTCAGTAAAACGTGTATGACAATTATAAGGTATTTACAGAAAAACGTGTATGACAATTATAAGGTATTTACAGAAGACATGGGCATTACTCCATTTGAAAAATATATATATTTATATATACCGGTATATATAGAAATGTTTAAAAAAAAATTGCATATGAATATCAAAACATTTGTAAATCAATTTTGTACAGACCAGATGACTTTAAAAAAAAAAAAAGAGTAATATGAAAATTTACCCAAATTGATTTCAAGACAAATAAAATATATTCAAGTGTAAAGCCTGATGTAACCATTGTCTCAGACAGCAAGACTTTACCAAGTCCAGCTTTCATAGAGACTTATGTTTAAAAAAAAGTATAGCCATAAGTTTTGGTTCCAGTATTATTAACATGCTCTTATATTTATACACAACTTTATAGTTAAATAAAGAAAGCTTACACATAAAACAAGCAACAAAAAAAAACAATATATACATAGCTCATTATAAAAAAAGAAATATATTGAACAATTTTTAACTGAGATAAAAGTGTAAATACTAATTATTGTTTCAATTTAAAAAAAAAAAAGAATTTAATTGACAAAATAGAGCCCCATTATAAATTTTAATAATATTAAATGTTAAGGTAAGAGCTTTTTACACTTTCATAAGTATTTTCTTTTTAGCATAATTTAATTTATTATTCCAATTCCAAGAAAATGTGTCATGGATTCTGAAATAATAGTCTTTTGAGAGACCGGTTTAAAATTTATGATTTGTACACAATTCTCTAAAAGACCAAAGAATACACCTTCCAGTTTTGTCAAAATACCAGAAGCCTGAAAGGAATTGAAAAGGCTACTGGAATGTTATTCAAAACTTTTTTTTAAAAATCAACCTCTCTTTTTACATTTTAAAGGATTGCTTTAAAACTGGAATTATACAAAGTATGTATGAAACAGAAAGACTAGCAAAGTCAACATTTCGAAAGGGGTCTATATCTTTGGTGAGTTTGGGAAACACTTTATTAAGTAACAAAAGTAAAAATGCATGGATGACTTAACTTTAAGGCACTGAAATATAAGAAAATAACTAGTAAAAAAAGACCTTGTTTAACAAGCCTTCGTTATAAGAATAATTTATGTTGCCGTGCATAAAAAAAAATTTTTTTTAAAGTTTTCAAATGATATATTTTTGAAAATTTTCGATTATTCCACACTTAATCACCTCCCAGGGTGACTTACAAACAGCTTAGCAAATCCTTTTTTTTTTTTAATTAAAGATCTTAAATTTTAATTTTTTAAATTTACATCAGACCTTCCCTTTTTTTTTCCATAATATTTGCAAATGATTTTGCTTGATGGCATAGTCATTTGAATAATACTAGTTAATTAAGTAAGGAATGCCTAAACAATTTTTAAAATGTATAAATTTACATACCAATGTATGCATATGGAAACATATTTGAACAGAATTTAATGACCTCAAAAATCAATTAAAAAAACGTATAATTATAGTAAGTGATTCAGGTTTTATGTCAAAGTGTTTTAAGTTCTCCTAAGAAATTTGGTGAACAGTTTAAACATAACTTCTCTTTTTTAACTTAATTCATAAATCTTAATATTAAAAAAATTAAATATCCATTTTTTATCTCGACTTTTTTGTTAAACTTATGCATGTCCATTATTTTTTTAACGGGAGGACTTCATTCTTTCAATGAGCATTAGATCTTGATAGTGAAAGCACAGATACTTTAGTTATCCCCAAAACAGATTTGGAAGATTAGATTACTTGGAAGAATAGTCCAGTAGAACATGGGCGCCCGCAAAAAACTTTCTAGGGAGGGGGCAAAAAAAATCGATTAACTTTCCGTGGGGGGGGGGGGGGATAAAAATTTTTAATGTTTTAATATAGTTTTAATTTACTGTAGCGTATTTGTATGGTGAACGAACGGACAGGACATCAGCTTACTTACTTTCTCTTTACTTTAATAAATTTTGTGTCTATTTTTGTCTAAAAAATTTTTATCCAATCAATCCAGGAGGGGGGCCGCAAGTGCCCCCCCCCCCCTGCGGGCGCCCATGCAGTAGAAGTACAAGTTTCAATTCAAAACTTTGCTAATAATTGGATTTCATAAATAAAATAAAATTTAAATTAAAAAAGCAACAAAAGTAAAAAAATAATTTTTAATACAAACACATTTAGATCTAACAGTAATTCATTAAGTAAAAGATTGTTCTGTGTATTGGAAGAAATTCAAACAAAAAGATTTAAAACTGAGTATTAGATAAGTCAAACAAATAGCAATCCTTTTTTGATTTGTACAATGAGAAAATAAGACCTCTTTTGATAAAATAACATTAGTCTGTTAACATTAATCCCTGTTAACATAATCTTTACACTGCTGCTAACATTTTATGTCGGTGAATAATTCAATGAAAATATACCATGGAATATGACACAATGAGCAAAATATGATTCTTCCCTTTTTTTTTTCTTCATAAAGAACTCATTAATTTACAACTAATAAACATTGAATTGTATAAAATGTTAAATTTAAAACATTTCAGCTTTATTTAAAAATAAGTTGTAACTTTTTACTTCACTCAGTGATATTGTCTGACCTCAGTGACGAATAGCCGAGTTTTGGTTAGGATACCTCCTTACATATTTACCTGGATGGTACTGAGGAAGAAAAGAATAAAATATTTAGCCAATTTTGTACATTCACACCATTGGTTTTTATTATAGTCTATACAGTAAAACATCCGGTTACAAGTAAGTGAGGATACAAGCATATAGGGATATAAGCATAAATTTTTATTAAATTTTTTTATTTGTTTGCGAGTGATGTATTGGAATGCAAGCAAAAATTTCACGACGTATGATATTTTTCATGGACAATTATGAACAAGAATATCACGCAGACAACATACTTATGTGGTGCCCATACGCCACTCAGGCAGTGGTTACATCATTTTGACGTGTTGTTTATTCCATTTTGTTTCTTGTATATTCGCATAACCCCTTACCCTTCCACTTACCGAGCAGCACTTGTTGAAGTAGCATCACTGCAAGCGTTTTCTCTTGTCACATTTTCACAACATTTTAAAGAAAAGGCAAAAACAGGTTCTCTAGATAGGTTCCTTGTCAGAATTCAATGCAAGTGTGTAAAAAAAAAAGAAGACCAAATGTCCAGAAAGCGTAAATTAAATGATTCTGTTAATGATAGTGAATGTCGTCCAAAAGAGAAAACTCCCGATATGTCAACAGAAATTCTGGTAGCCCTCTCCTTCTCTTACTTTCTGTTTCATCTCCTCACACCAGCCACGACCCTCCTCATAATTGTTTTAGGATGCAGGCATTTTAGGTTGCGGAGCTCTTTCCCAGAACGAATTAAACCTTTAACCCCAGGTACCACTGTAGTTCTATATTGATATTATAAATCTATAATTCTATGTTCTAGGTGTGGATTATAAGATAAGCACTCCCTTTAACTTGACTGTACAGCCAACAGAACATTTCAAGACAGTTCAGTTTATTAAGTGGACATAAGTGGACATCTAAAATGTAAGAACAAACCGAATGGGTTGAATACTCACAGCTGGAGGTGGGGAGTCATCAGGAAGTGGGTGTTGATGGGTTAACATCAGGACTTGGTCGTCATGGTTGGATGCACTGTGAATGTTGAAACTCTGACATGAAACTCTGGCATTAACAGTTTAGGGTCATTGTCAAATATTCATCTAACCTTATGTCCGACTGTTTTAGATATTGTCTCTCACTTCATAACAACAATGAATAGTGTCATTTTTGATGTACTTTTGTTTCAATTCACTACAAGACTGAATAGTTCCTTTCATGCTAGATGCTAATTTCACTGCAACTCAACACTGAGTAGTCATGTACACTGTACTCAAAATCCACTTGGTACAATAACAAAAGTACGCCTGGCAGAAAATTTGCACCACACAAAAAAGCTTCACCGTGACTCTGACCAAACCCATCTTATCTCTCCTGACAATCTCGTGAATGTTAAGTCATACTCGCACCCCTTGGGGTGAACATAACTTACTGTAACCCCTACAAATAACAACAATCTTGTCCACTCATACTCGCACCCCTTCGGGTGAACATAACTTACTGTAACACCCCCCCCCCACAACATAACAACAATCTTGTCCACTCATATTCGCACCCCTTCGGGTGAACATAACTTACTGTAATCCCCCACACATAACAACAGTGATTCTCATACCCTTGACAGTCATTAAAACTTCTTGTTATTCATTATGTTCTTAATTTAGCGGGATTAGTCAAGAATTTCATAAGCCCTTACTTTTTTTTTTTTTAAGGTTAATTTTTTTTTAGAAGCTGAAATATTCACTACGCCATTTCGTTTGCCGTAAATAAAATGTCTGATAATCCTTAATTAGTAATGATTCTTTAAACAAAGTGTTTTGCATGCTGGGGCACGGGAACTGAATGCTACCTTCCTGTATGCTGCAGTGTACCTCGTTCTAACCACGGCCTCGGACTTAAGTTTCCCATTGCTCCATAATCCGACTCATAAGGAGGTGGGTGAGGCAAGAATGGGTCTGTTACATCAACGGGAACATAATCAGCTCTGCGACTGTAAACAAAAGATATCACAAAATATTGTTGTTATTCAGAATCAATGCTCATCATTAGATTTTTATTAAAACAAATAGCAAATAATCAGGTCTGTAAAACCTCAAAAAATAAGTATTAACGTATCTAATAGTTTTTGCAGCATAGTGGTGCTTTTCTTTATTGTATTTAAAATTATAAAATGAAGAAAAATATTTCTCCCACAAGTTTTTTTTCTTAAGGAGGCGGGGCAGGGCACGCACTTTGTGGTGGTAAGTGTAAAACTACTGAACAAAAAGTCAGATTAATAATGCAAAGAAATATTAGTGATGCCTTTGAAATTATTAGCAATATATTTAAGTACCGGTATCAGATGTAAAATATGTTACAATTATCTAAATCTAAATATGTAAAGCATAGTGATACATTTCGTACATGTTTGTACAGAAAATCTTCATCACTATTGAGGATTAGGCTTTTTTATTTGACATAATGGGTTGTATATGCTGCTTTTATCATGTAACTTCTTAAAATAGTAATTTTTCTAATTGGGTCTGAAGAAGGACAAACTCAGACTTCTAACCAAATTTATATATTATGAAATTAGCATATGTCTCTAGCAGGAATGGCACTGGAAGTAGTGGAGTCCTTCACATACTTAGGCAGCACCATCGACATAAATGGCAGGTGGGTGTAAGGGCCAGAATTGGAAAAGCTAGATCAGCATTTCTACTATTAAAGAAAATATGGGAGTCGAAGGAGCTGAAGCTGCAAACCAAAGTCAGAATCTTGAACACAAATGTCACAACAGTTCTACTACATGGAGCAGAAACTTGGAAAACAACAGCGAGCATTACGCAGAAAGTACAGACCTTCATAAACACATGCCTTAGAAAGATCATGAACATCAAATGGCCAAATACCATCACTAACAACGATCTACTAAAAAGGACTTAACCAGGTGTCCATTGATGAAGACATCATAAAGAAAAGATGGAGGTGGATAGGGCATACTCTCCGAAAACCCCCAGATAGAATCACAAGACAGTCTCTAACATGGAATCCATGGGGAAAAAGAAAAAGAGTAAGGCCAAAGAATACATGGGGACACAAGCTAGAGGCAGAAACGCAAATTATGGGATACACCTGGAAGCTACTGGAAAGGAAAGCACAGGACCGTGAAGAATGGAAAATTCCTGAGGACGGTCTATGCCTCAGATGGGATAAAAATGCATAAGAAGAATGAAATTAGTAGCCAATCAACAGAAATCAAAAAGAAAAATATAAAAATGTGTTAAGAAACAGGAACATATTAGAATTATTTAAAGTAAAAAAAACAATTATTGTAATATGTTCACAATGCAAAGGATGGCTTTTTTTTTTTTTTTTAATAATAAAACTTAACAATCGGAACAAAACCGCAATTGAAATATTAAATTCAATAATGAACACACTTCATGAAAAATTTTCAGGGGGGAAAAAAAAAAAGGGGGGGAAGAAATTCCTGTGAGTTTTATTTTTTCATAAAAGTTTTATGTTGACAATAAATGGAGATAAACTTTAAAAATCTGATAATACAACAAATACATACAGAAACTACAGTTAATTATAGACACATTTACTCATTACCACTGATTATTTAGTTTCATTCATCATTACTCTTTGCCAGAGTTGATCATGTGTTCATTTCCATACATTTACATATTTCAGTTCTGGGTTCTTAGAATTTTTTTCAAAATATACAGCTGTCTGAACTCGAGTTTTTATTTCACATTTTGCTCTACATTGGTTCTGTCATAGAAACTATTCAGGTTGTCCTTGTCCCAATGCCTAGTCTTTCATGTCAAGTCCATTCATGTCAGTTGCCAGAACCGCCTACCCAACGGAGCATAACAAATAATATTGTTTCACTCTAAGGAAAAATCTGATGCATCATTTTTTTTAAAGTTGATTTCTGTAAGAGACCTACATGGTTTAAGCTCTCCAAACTTGTGCGCGACAAGAACAATCCTCGATGCCTGGATGGTGGTGTTTGAAACAATAAAAAGACTATGGATATACCAATTCCCAGGCTGTATTTTCTGACACACCACATCATGAAGGTGCTGCACCAGACTTTAGACACACAGATATCAAGAAATGTAATCAGCAGTCCATTTCAGAGCTACTTGTCTACTGTTCAGATCTGACTAAATTAGTTGATAAGAAGCAATGAGCATTACCAGCCGCTATCAGTGTGAGAGCAGCTATGAGTGCACCTCTGTGTGGGGGAGACTCTTATAGTTTGAATCAGCCCTTTGCACATAGTAAGTTTGCTGTGGAATGTGTTGGCTTACAGTGCACATAGCAAGTCTGCTGTTGAATATGTTGGCTTACACTGCACATAGCAAGTCTGCTGTTGAATTTGTAATCTTACACTCACTGCACAAAGCAAGTCTGCTGTTGAGTATGTAGGCTTACAGTGCACATAGCAGTAGCAGGTCTGCTGTTGAATATGTAGGCTTACACTGCACACAGCAAGTCTGCAGCAAAATGTGTTGGATTACATTACACATAGGAAATCTGCCTTGGTTTATACACAGCAGTAAAAAATGTGTGCTCGCTTGATACCATCAGTGTATCTTAGATGGAGAGTACTCACATGTTCTCTCACATCGGGTGTGCAGTATGTTGTTTTTGTACATCTGCCTGCCTCAAACTCCCATGCTTGCTGGAGCATCTTCCAGTTGAGCATATTTAATATTTTTAACTTTCCTTTCATGTTCTAATGATCCTTCTTTGAATTGTTTGACTGGCCAGTCCACTCGGTCAACATCCCAATATACCGGATCCTCACTTTCTCTAGGTGACTTTTCTGGTGTGATAGTAACTGACTTCATCTTATCAATGGATGTGCCTAAACTGTTATAGACATCCAGGCTGATACTCTGCTGGTCAAACAGTTTTAAGTCTGATAAGCGAATGGCGTTGCTTAAAGATCTCTTCCAAAAATAAAACTGGCTCTCAAGCTCAGTCAGATTTGAACTTTCAGAAATTCTATCAGTGGCCACCTTACTGTTGACAGAGATGTTGTCTTTCAAAGAGAGATAATCCATTGATGTAGCCACTGAATTGTTTTTCTCCTGCACCGTTGTGCCTTGAATGCTTTTAGATGCCTCAGATTCAAATTCCCATGGATTCTCAGAGAAATCGTTGGAGGACTGATACTTTTTAAAGACAGGTTTCCTCTGTTTTTCTGGTTTCTGAGTATCTCCAATGTAGACGTAACCATAATCATCGTTTGTTTGTGCTTCTGCTTTGCTTTCCTGGCTTCTATCTTCAATTTTAAAAACCTTCCTTATCATTTTCGGAATTCCCTTCACTTTGAGTCTATAGCAAACAAAAGAGAGTTAGTTTTTTTTAATAAATTGTGTTTAGTCAAAGGGCATGACAAGATTATGTTGACGCCAAAGGGCATGAAAATATTGTGTTTCGTCAAAGGGCATGAAAATATTCTGTTTAGTCAAAGGACATGAAAATATTGTGTTTAGTCATAAGAGCATGAAAATATTTGTTAAGTCCAAATTTGCATGATTTTTTGCATGGAAATTCTTTTTACACTTAGTATAAATATGTTTTTCTCACGGACCTATGAAGTTATTTTTATTGTGGGAACCTAAATAAGTCCAAACAAAAATTTGAATTAGATTCAATGTGAAAAACTGCATAAAGTATTCCATAGGTTGTGCTTTGCTTATATGCCTTGTGGCATATTTCTAAGTCATATATTTTTTCAAGCATTTATAGAGTTACTTGATATAAAATATCAGAACAATGTAAACAAGCAAAGAAACCCACCATTAAAAATGGCGTGATGAGCGATGTGAGAAACCATCTGATTAGCTGGTAGGAAGACCAGCCAGCCAATCTCAAAGTTTATATTATTGAGCCAATAAATGAGCCCTCATCTTGGCCCAGTCTTATCAAGAGGTTAACTGGTTAACTACCATGCGGCACGGCATTTCTTCCGTTATGGCCACGAGTCGCTGGTAGCGCCAATGTTTGTAATCGTAGTTATATTATTCTGCACACATTGCAAAATCTTACAAATTGACACCCCCCCTCTCAGCATGTATGCATACACACTATAATGATGGCCCTGGATTTACTAAGTGTCACTAGGTAACTACGCTATATTACATTTGCCTTGTCTAGTGAGTTCATTATGAAAACACAGAGCAACAACATTATCATCACACCTATCATCATGAAAATGTGGCTGTGTTAATTTAATAGACTTAAATATTTAGACGACCCCCACCACTTACACAAAAATCTCATAAATAATATCACTCCATTCCCCTTCCAAGGCAAACATAATATAGTTATACAGACCTGTTTACCCTCAAACTCTTAAAATCGTACAATATCATCACAAAATAGTTGCATACATTATCTTATTAGTAAACAAATTTACATACAGTATATATAATGTATGCACCTCAAAATCGTACATTGTACGCCAAAATCGTAAGAGTAAACTGGTCTGGTTATAGATGGTACCCAAACAATCGTAATTCTCGATCCATTCACTGCTGAATGTAGATAGCAAGTGTAAGTTAAAACTAACCACCGAAAATGTACTTTTAAATTAATCTTTTTCCAGAAAAACGACCAGAATGTGTATATATTACCAACCCAGTCTCTTAAAATCATAGTTTACTATAAAGGAAAAAATCTTTTTCATCTTTTTCTTTTTTAAATCTGACCTTTTCTTGGTGTATTCCCTCCACACACAGGAGATGGTGAAGATAATTAATGTGCAGACTATCCCCAGCAGACAAAAGGTCAAGGCCAGGAAGGAGCTTGCAGAGCTTGAAAACAAAAATTGTTAAAAAAGTGAAAATTGACTACTTTTTTTTAAAAAATAAATGCTGCCACATTTTCACAACTTTTTAAAACAGATTAATGAGCATGACTTTTTTTTTTTTTTTATTTTATATAAAAAAATTATTTATGTGTTTTTATGAATATAGAAAATAATGTGCGCTATTTATTTGAGCCAAGGTGCATAGAGTTAACACCTGTCTGGCCTTAAAAACAGGATACAAACACAGAATGAGCTACACAAAAAATATAAGCTGCCAGGCCTTGATTATTAAATCAGTGACCCACACAAAAAATGTAAGCTGCCAGGCCTTGATAATTAAATCAGTGCTCCACACAAAAAATGTAAGCTGCCAGGCCTTGATAATTAAATCAGTGGCCCACACAAAAATATAAGCTGCCAGGCCTTGATAATTAAATCAGTGGTTCACACAAAAAATGTAAGCTGCCAGGCCTTGATTATTAAATCAGTGGCCCACACAAAAAATTTATAATTTCTTGTGACATTAAACGTAAATAATTCTAAATAGTTTTTTTCCCTGTTTAAGTTCTGGTACACATAATGAAAAATAAAATCACAGGATCTGTGTATGGTTTTTTACTATTTTTTACTATGGTCCAATTAGCCCTACTTCATTATTATTTTGGTTAGCTTCCAAAGTCTACCCAGACTTTTTTTTTTAAATGATAATATTTATAAACGCACACAAGGGTTTGATAGGAACAAGAAATGGATAAGATCAAGTGCAGCACACACATTTCCACAGTTTAATAAATAATAGTATCAAGTCTGTAAATTGATATTGTTTTGACAGATTTTACTAGTTATTTGACAGTTACTGTGCAATGTTTAACTAATGACTCACAGTATATCGTGACAGGTAAGTTTGACTCCAGTGATGTATTGATGATGGATGTTGGTGCACATGCCTACGTCAGTGAGCAATGTGGAAAGGTTTCCCATACAATATTGCAGTTCATTTTTCAGTTGTAAAGTTGACTTATTGAACTGTTTTAAAAAGTAAAAAATTTGGAACAAAAATGTTAGGGATGTACAGAAGGAACTATTATTTTTAAATTTAATCGTCACAAGCTAATCCCTTTAGACAACCTTTCAGAAAGCCGAGCCCACCACCCTGGATAAATGTTTGCCGTTGACCAAATTAAACAAAAGAATCAGAAATGTGGTACGGAAATTCCCTGTAAATTCACCATTTTTTTTCTGGGGAAAAAAGATCAAGTTTGGAAAAACTTAAAACAGTCAAATGTCAGAAATTAAATGTAAAACAAAAGATTAAGGCAATAGAAAATTAGTTGATTTTAATGATGCACACCACCCTTTACCTTCTTTAGTAAGATAACAATAGGTTACATGAACAAGTTGAGTAATTTGCTTTACCTCATCTGTGCGGTAAGGTGCAGCCAAATCGAGTAAGTTTTGAAGATCTGTACCTGTCTGTGTCACCACTGTCTGTATGTCTAAAATGACCTAAATGAATAAAAATTTGAATCATGTAATTAGTTTGGTTTCAATTTGTTTTTTCAGTAAAATAATTTTAGTTAAATAGTATCAACAATTCTATCAGATCTTTTTAGTAACGGGGAGGGGGGGGGGGCCGCCGCTAGCATAGGGCGCAATTAAATAATTTTTACCTTTAAATAATAATTGAGTGGCTACGTTTTAGCTTAATTGCCCCCCAACTTTTTAGTATGCTAATAGCTTTGTAAAATCTTTATCAATCTGGTTACATTTTTACCCAACTGGCTTCTCATTGGAAGTTATATTAATGCACTACTGCTTAACTAATCTAGTGTCAACTATTAGAGCATATATGTGTACTTGAAGAAAATTAAATTAAACTACCATTTGATACGGCTCTGATGAATCTGTACATTTTATGTAAGCTGTTGTAAGATCTGAAAATAAAAAGAAAACAATCTCTTAGACCTCCACCATGACAAATTGCCAGGGACCCCTTCACACCTATTAAATTAGGTGTTAACTCTTGAGAAAGAACATGGCAAAAATAATGATCATTTATTATTATTATTATTGCAAGAAGAAAAAAATTCTATTGAGATAAATTAACTAATATTAGTTAAGTGAAATGATGTATTCGGAGGAAAAGGAGAATTGTTAAGTTTCAAAACTTTCAATCAAATAATTCATTAAGCTTCAAAAGTTATAGTTAAGATCAGCGTTTCCCAAATGCCAGGTCGTGACCTGGTACGGGGCATGAAAGCAAAATTACCAGGTCGCATACGGTTGAATATCTAGGTTCGATTATTGTGACGTAAAAGCAATAGGCCTATAACAATATTATATAATGTATGAAAACTGTGTGGAAATTCATATATGTTATATGTTACCTACAGACAGTAAAATAGGCAGTAAAAATGTTAGTGCGTTATGAAGGAGCAGTATAAAAATAACTGGGTCACAGAAAACATGTATTTGGGACACAATGCTTTATGTAACTTTTTTCTAGTATCATCTCATTCTATAGATTGTTCTACGGATGAGATAGTTGGACATCAAGCTATTTAAGTACTGTCTACAGCAGGGTTAGGCAACCTTGTGGCCCACTGAAACATCTAATGCTGCAAGCAAGAAATAACGGTAATTTGATCAATGTATTTGTAAAATGTACAAATTGTGAATGATTATTGGTAAAAGCCTTTGCGGATTAAAACCCCCCAGCAAAAAATTTTCTGTAGTAATAATAATTTCAACCATACTTAAATATTATTCCAATGCTTGCGTTCAAAATTATTTTCTGTTTATTATTTATAGCTAAGTTTCCATCTAAATCATCATGCTGCCTGTTACGCACTGACGTGTATTGGGAGAAATTAATCTCCTATTTTAATTTTAATTGGCTCGTTGTAAACAGTGCCTAACAAAGGATGATACCATAGAATCAACAATATTAAAGATATGACCCAAAACAGTTTCTAGTTACAATTAATAAGATTTATTAAGCCTTAAGATAATTACAAAAGAAAAGAAAATATAATTACAATCTTCAACTTACAGTATGGTAGATCTTATACCGGTATACAGTTAACACAGTTAGAATAATGTGCCAATAAATAATGCGAAATAAACACATATGAGCACACAAATACACAAAGAATAAAACACGCCTCGTAATGTTAAGAAAATATATCTGAAATCCCTGTCTCTCCGTATCTGTCAATCCTTTATATACATGTAGTGTAAGACGCTTCCAGAAGGACCTATGACGTGTTGTTTACATATCTCGGGTTAAGGAGTACATTCGAGAAGATACCCGGAGACATTCTACCCAATGCGTAATTGGAAGCCGATTGTAAACAAGATACATCAAAGAGATTTAACCACGCCCACAACAGACGTTACTGCCTACTAGGAGTGTACTGCGAGGTCGAGGAAAGTTCACGCACAGGAAATTGTGCTACATAACACTGCCCAAAAAAAAAATTAATTTCCATTCTGCTCTCCGCATAAAAATGTTGCCCACCCCTGGACTACAACATCCTCCGACTCTTATAGGCCAATCAGAATTTTTAAATGACAGCCCACCCAAAACTTAAGTCAACAAACACTTCCCGCTCATCTAAAAATATGTATTTGTTAATTTAATTTTTTAGATCTAAACAAAAAAAAACAAAAAATACAGAAAATGTCAAACAAAGACATACCTTAATAATTCAACCAAAAATTAAGACTAATGCCGATGATTTTGTAACTTAAAGTAGCATTTTTTGAAAGTGTGTCCTCAGCTAGAGCCTAGAGTTTATGTGTGGGGCAGTGTGACCTCAAACTCACAGTCCAGACATATCTCCCAGACATATCTCCTCTTATACTTTCTACTGTCATAATAGATCATAGACTCCCACTAGACAAAGCCCTTTGTTTACTTCTGACAATAAATCATAATAAATCATAGACTCCTTCCAGACATACACCCCCCCCCCAACCTCCTTACTTACTTCTGTCACTTGGGTCTTCAGCCAGATTAATAAAATATGTGTCAGGGTCTGTGCACAGGTCTCCTAGTCCCTGTTGAAAAGGAATCAATAGTATTTTCAAACGTTTCTCTAACACAGAACAAAATTTTTTAAAACGTTATCAGGTTTACATCAACTGAAATTTACTTTTAACATTACACCAATACATTGTCACTATCAGAAATATATCAAATGGGACACAAATGATTACCAATTGAGGCCGGCAAAGCTTCTTCCAACTTAAAAATAACATCTAATTTGTTCATCTTACCTTTGTGTAATATTAAATATACCTTTCAAAGCATTTTTTTTTTATTTGTGTTAGACTTTAAATTTAAACATTTACAAATTTAAAAGACATGAAATGGTCTAGCACAGGCCTGCACAACATACAGCCTGCCAGCACCAGCTTTGTGGCCCACGAAGTAACGAAATAATCTTTATTATTATTATTTTCTTATTGCCCCCCCCCCCAACCCTTTTCCTATTTTCTTTCAGCACACAAGTTTTTCATTAAGTATTTCGGCCCGCCTTACATTTTGAGTTGTGTAGGCCTGATTTAGCAAAATATACAGTCAGTATAACTATGAATTAATATTTTAAATTTCACTGCCCTCAGTTGTCACAACCAGTGATCAACTATTTCATGGGACAATGCTTTAAAAAAAATTAAAACCAACTGTGGTAGACAAATAATCTGGAGGAATCTGAAAATTGATGCCATAGTGTCATTTTAAATATAATCTATTAGCAGAGCCGCTGCATTGGGCTGTATTTACTCTCATTTGATGTAATTGTAGTGTTTTATGATTTATATATAGTGGCGAATTTTACTTTTCATTTGCCAACTATGACTATTTTGGTAAAAGGTTGCCCATCCTGGTCTAGGAATGATTCTTCAGTAACAATAAATTTCACAACAATCAGGCATTAAGTAAATTAACACTCAACCCAATGTTCTCATGTAATGAGCAAAGCTATCTTACGCAACATGCTCAGAGAAGATGTTCATTCATGACTGACCTAGCAACAGTGCAAAATCGTGATTTTTAAAATTTGCATAGCTCATGTCAGAAAAAAACATGAACATGGATCTTTGAATCCAGGCATTTCCCATGACGTGTAATGTGTTTCTTCCACCCTAGAAAATCTCAGGAAAACATCTATCAAAAAACATTTCACAAATCTTTCATACTTGCAGAAATCTCACCATTTATGACACACTACATCCAATTACTACAAACAAGGATATAGAATAGACAATGAAATCAATTCTATGTCTTCTTTAAAAATTTTATGTCCACATTGTATTTTCTTCATTATTGATGTATCTTTAGAACCGATGCATAGGTTACTGCTTCCAGATACCTATACAACCAAGTTAGTGTGGTTGTGCAGTAATGTGAATGCCAATATCTTTAATACTATAGAGTTGTTGTTTTTTCCTAGATCAACAACCCAAAGGAACAAACTGATATCAGAACTGTACTTACTAATGAAACACCCAAATAAGCTCCAGTCGCCACCCAGATGAGAATGGACGAAATTACGGCTATTACAGCAGATCTGTTTCATTGAAAAATAATTTAACTATCACTTTAACAACCTATCTTTTTAAAAATAAAAATTTCATACCATTTATATAAATATATATAATAAAAGGTTGTTATATATATAATATATATAGACTTATTGAGTTCAACATCATTATTAAAACTTTTAAACATGTTTTAAAATTTGTTTAGATATAATCACCAATTGCTTTAAATTGTTATCAGCGATTTCCTAATTCTTAATCTATTATTTTTTTTAATTATAAGGATTTATTGTTCCTTCTTAAATCATAATTAGGTGAACACAGGTTTCAATTTTAAAAAAAGTAGGCCAAAGCATGAGATTATCAATGTTGATTTATTAATATCTACTTACACAATGAGCGTTATCCTTGATCGTATCAACAGACCCACCATGGTCATGAGAAATATGAAGATGTACCAGCAATTCATCACAATAGTTATCACCCATCTGATAAGAAAGATTAAAATAAAACTTTTATGTACTCTGCTCAGGTGACCGTGATTGGTTGTCATCAATGCTACTGTACCATAGAGCATTCATGGTCACTTGAATGCAATAAATGCACCATCAACCTATAGTACTAATGGTAACTTGAACATATGAAAATAAATGGCTTGCAAATTAATTGGGGGGGGGGTGTAGGGTTGTGTTGTCTTTTTACAAAACCTTAAAATATGTTTAATTATTCAAAGGGCCATTTAAAACTGACACATGTAATTTAATTTCCTAAAACATATTTCAAAAGGATATAAAATATAGTTTTTTAAAAATTAATACATATATCAGGTAAAATAATCTCCCCTTCATCAAGTACTAAACTTTTGTCTACTGCATTAGCATATATAGAATGAGTATTCTCGTATGTAGTTTTTGTAATTAAGCGTTTTGTATTTCAATGTGGTATAATATAGATTTTTTCATTTCTCTTCTAATGTGGTTGACTTTGTGCCACACTTCGAGCCTTTGGAGATGAAGAGTGATTTTCAAATAAACTTTTTATTATTATTAAATATTTCTTGTTAACACCCCCCAAGTTTATTTTTGCTATAGTCTTTTTGAACATTTTAAAGTCTCCTTTTTAAGTTCCTGTCGCTACGGGGTTAAAGAAATTTAGCAAATTCCAAACATGTGTTTAAAACCCTTGTTGAATGAGATGCAATATTTCTAATTAAAAGTAATGCCTATATTAAGTTGTAATTGGTTGAAAGACTATTCTACTATACTTAACATCCCACTAGGTGCTGATTCAAGATTTTTATATAAATAAAGCTCGATTTTCAAAAAAAAAAATATTTGCGAAACACCAGTTGGTAAGTTTGTCAGTTGGTAATCACCACAACAGAAAAATAATTTTATACAGTGACAAGATGAATATTGTAAGGAACAATCATATTTGAAACATTTGTAATATTGTTCCTCATAAGGCCTTAGTAATTATTACAAACTATACAAAAGTCAAATTGGTTAAAGTACCTGTAATATTCAATGTCATTGGTCAAGTCAATAAAATCACTGGTTTTATTAACAACATCAAAAGATTTTATTATTTTCAAATAATCTTTGGATTCAAAGGCTCCCTTCTTAATAATTTCTAGCAGTTCATAAGACTTGTTTCTGAGTTGACCATCAGGAATTGAGTTCAATGCATCTTTAATTTCTGAATATATTGGGCCTAAAATATCTGCCTGCATTGAGCCCAAAGCTATTATCTGAAATTAAAAAAAAAAATTAAACAATCGAATAAAAATTATAAGTTATACTCTTTTATTTATTTTTAGCACACATATGTAAAATAAAAACATAAGAGACTTAAGTTTTCAAAATAAAAAAAAATCTTCACATTTTAGTTTAGTTAAGAAGTTGTATAAACATAAGTTTAATTACTTGCCCTCAGTCTTGCATTGTGGAAAGTAGTTGTGGCTTCAACAGCAGGACTTTTCACAGCACCAACACTTTGATGACCATTCTCATTTTCATACAAGCATAACCCGATTAGACCTCTGAAAATAACATAATTAGATTAGGAGCAAAAAAATGGTAGAGACATTTTGGAGACAGATCAGGCGCTTAAACATGTATTTAAATGTTATCTAAGACTTCTCTAAGAGTTTTGCCAGTAATCTTGCTGCTTTATTTCATAAAGTGAATAAAATAGGTAGGTTGAAAAGAAACATTTATCACAATTGTATATAGAACCAAAGATATCTACAAACATAATATTGTTTATATAATAAATTCTTGTGGTCTTGAAATTATGAGAGAGGGTTTAATAAATTATGAAAATATGTTAGGTTCAAAATTCCAATAGCCATCTAAATATGTAATCAAGGAGATATTATTTCTATTTTTTTTCTCTGCACCTACATTTTTTTTGCTTTTTATCAATATCTAATTTATGATACCTGATACTCTTTACATGGTCTAAGTGCCCCAACTTTGCATACTGTCAGGTTTGTGTAGCTGTTCAGCAACCAGTTCTTAACTTATGTTTTAAAGCATGACAGATATCTCTACTTACACTCCCAAAAATAACAGTAACCCAGTAGTGATAGCTGGGCATGATGATGGACGTGCATTTGATTTGTCCAACTGCTTGCAAGCACGTACGATGAAGTAAAACATAAATATCAGCCATAACAAGATGCAAACAGCAACTGGAACCAGTGCCCAAGTGAGTAAAGCCTGTCATGTTGGGAAAAAATTAATACACAAATTAATAATAGATAACATTATTTCATAGTAACGGATATTTCATTTTATTAATTCAACACCTACTTACCTTATTTCTAATTTTTAAAAAAATTGGGTATATTACTCACAATATTTAAAAAATACATGTGCTATCAATGCTCATGGGCTGAGAGATATGAGGTTCCCATATTTTTAATCTGGTTTTGATATTTTCCGATTTGTACTTCACAAATTAAAGACAATAATTGCTGCTTGTCAGTCTACTTAATTTTATATTTTTGTACATGATTTTCTGCAGCTTAGTTACACTTAACTGTCTTTTCTTATTGTAAACCAGCAACCCTGAATCAGCAGTATTATAAATATAATATAATTGTAAAAAATGTACATTTTAAATTAAAAAAAGAACTACTGAAACCATTGAATATATTATCCCATTTGAGCTCTGAAACTGGAAATATTCATCCGGCAAATAATAAGTCATTATAAGTTTTCCCCCACTCTACCTCAAAAATGTTATTAAAGTTAAAACAGTGACAACTTGTGTTAGTTCACATACATTTCCTTCCTTCAATTAACAAAGTTATCCCAAAATAATTCACAAAAAAGTCATAACTTTTTAACCAAAGTATTGCATGAAAAATCAAAACATTATTACTTCATTTTAACAACAAGGCAGGGCTATCTTAAAGAGGTGTTCATTGCTTAAATTTAAATCATTAAATTTTAAAATTGTATCAAAGTCCAAGCCTATGATAATGATACAAAAAGAGGCACAAGTCAACAAAATATTCAATTTAGCAAGGCCATGTGGATGACATGAAAATAACTGGGCTTACTGGGAAATAGTAAATAAACAATAAAATTATGTATATTTTAGTATGGTACCTAATTATTAAAATTAATTACTAAAATTGAAACAACAGAATAACTCACATTAATATGATTAAGTACAGACAATGGCTAGTACTACTTGGTATTTAATTTCTGACACTTAATGTCAGACTAAAACAGTGTAACAAACAAATTACTACCTCTCTGTAACTTTCCTTCTCGGGATCAAACGTAGAATTGACTTGATTGAATTTGAAATCGAAATGGGGGAAGTCGTGGAAAAAATTAGATATCCACTGACTGCTGTACCTTTCTGGAGGATCAGTTGCCATTTTAAGTAAAATTATTTCGTGAACAATGTTTCCGACTTATAAACATTTAATTTAAGTGGTTCAATACCGTTGAATACGTAAATAAATTACTAAAGACGGTTTGAGTATCTGTTGTTGACGTCGTTAAGTGATCAGCTGCCCATCCATTTCCATCGTATTTATCAACACAGTACATAACTAAGCCAGATTTTTTCTGCATCCGTTACTTTAAATGTTTAATACAGGCCTATAGTCTAATAATGTCGTGTCTATTTTAAGAAATTACTTTTAATATATTGCTATTTAAGCCAACCAATACTTTAAATCTATTAAGATTGATCCCGCAATATTGCATTTGCTGAATACAATAACACCCCTTTCCTTACCCCCCCCCCCAAAAAAAAAGGGTAAAAGGGTGTCGTCCGAGGTTGACTGACACCTCCGACTGACTAAGTCTTTCCTTGCTATTTATCATTCCACTGATATTATTTTGTGTGACCTATTCAAAGAAAATATTAAATATTTCGGTTAGGGTTATCAAACTAAATAAATATTTATCCCAATTGTTTCTTAGCTACCCTATTGAGAAATAAAATAAAGTCATTTTTTCCGTCTAATTTTAAATTTGTTAATGAAATGAGATAGTTAAATATTCCTTTATATTATGAGAAATTTGGCATTTTATTCATATTTATATTATTTTAAAATCACTTAAATATTCTTAAAATCATTATTTTATAGCAAAAAAATAGTTACTATGAAGTCCAATTAAGCTGTTTCGAATAATCCTAACTAATTGACGGGCCTGTTGATTTAGACTTGTAAATAGAATAATTAGCTTACAGTTGCACGGAATCCTTTTTATAGCTTTGTAATTAATAAACGTTCAAATTCAAAGCTTTGTTATTTAAATAATCTTAGCTAATAACTTTTAATAAAGAGAAAAGGCTAAATAAAACTACAAGTTTTATGTGGTTTCTGGGACTGTTTGTTCCAATGTAGCTTTACAATACACTCTCATTTAGCCGCAAGACGAGGTAGCGGCGAGAGACAAGTCAGCTTTTGTGTGTGTGTGTGCACTATGCTCACTGACGTCACAAGGGCTTTCCCGACTGTGTGGGTCATCGACTTCACTTTTAGTGTAGACGTTGTCTATCTGATATTTCCACCTCATTTTTCTCGAATGTGCATTTGTTTCTACGCATTTTACGTTTGCAGTTTGTGTATCAAGTAGTTTAGGATCGACTTTGAGCTAATCTGAATTTGCTGCAGCTCTGACCTGACAGCTGGGATTTATTGAAAATCGTAACCGGAGTGTTTTACTTGCAGCCACAGGTGGCCATTACTTTTCGTAACATAAGAGGAAGAATGCAGCGAGGACGTAAGTAACGAATTTTTAACATTAGCTATTAAATTCATACAATGGAGCTCATTTTGCCATATTAATGATCGCATGCAAAGAAAATATAATGCAATTTAAATTTTGTGTTTAATTTCAAATGCATTTTTGGAATTAAAGTTCAACCCGAAACGGGGTCATTGCGTGTTCCACTGACATTAAAAAAGATAATCGCGGTTACTTCCCTTGATGGACAATCTCCGAGCACTAGCAACACAGATGATAGTATGACAAATTTATGGCTCTTTATTTATACAAGACATAAAAATCTCCTTTTCCTACAAACCTTTAACAACTGAAAAAAGGGAGCTATTTATTTTCGCAGAACTTTGACATATTTCTTATTTAGTTATTTATAGCCCTGCCTTTGTCATTTATTTTTATACATTTCACATTTGGCTTTGTGGGTGATTTGCATTGGGCCTGCCTTCTTTGGCATTGCAAGAAAAGTCAAAAATAGAAATAATAGGCCAGGCTTATTATTAATATTACTTGCAAATACAATATTAATTTGTCATAATCATAACAGTATCATAAACTCATATTATGAAATATCATATAGTAGGGCCAAAGCCTATAACTATAAGAATAAGTAAAAGCCTAGTCCACCCAACTAATTCACTAGACTTACAACTTGTGAAGTCATGAAAATGAAAACATTTAATTTTAGTAGTAGTAGGCTTTAATTATACAATCACATTAACTTAATTGCTAGATGCATTACTTCTACTACACTAAGTTACTATAACAATGTGATGTCTATAAATCTTAGGCCTAGGCCCTATATCCCTCTTATATATTTGTAAAAAAAATTGTATACCTAAAAGCAGTTACCTCATTGCCTTAGCCTTAGCATTATTTTTCATAAGAACTTTCATGCAATTTGTTGAATTTACTATCATCTGTACATTTTCTCATTTAATTAATTGAACGATTTCAGCACCAAGTTATGCAGATAAATATGCACATTTTATAATTTTACCATAATGTAATTGGCCTACTTTTTGTCTTGTTATTATTGTCAATTTTAAAAGTTTATTAAAAAAATCACCCCATTGTTCATAGCCATTTTTTAAAAAAACATAATTGCAATCGATATTTTCACCTTTTGATTTAAATATAAGTATTTTCAAGACCTTTTAATCTAATAATTATGTTAGTCTAACATGGTTTTCACATTAAAGCGCAGAAGGCCCATATTAATTTACATTTCGCATTTTTGAAATTTATATTTGAAAGGCAAGAAACTACAACTTCTTAAATCAGAAATAGTTCTTTGCAAGTGTTTTATGAATCATTTCTGCAAAATAGAATTCCATTTTGACTTCATAAATTCCATTTTTATGGCTTCTTAGATAATTTATAAGCATACCCCAAACTGTATTAACAGAAAAATTGCAACATTTTTTTAAAATTTGGGTTATGAGCATTAAAATACCTCCATACATAATCTTACCAAAAAGGCCAAAAGATTTAACATTTTATGAATGAAATACATTCTGAAACCGTGTTGCAAGGGGCATGCACCCAATTACTGTCTTTGCTGCTTTAATAAAAAACTGAATTATGGCACCTTGCACTGGTATTAGTGTGAAAGTGAAATACATGTTATAGATTCTAATGAAAAAATGGAATGATCTGTTAAAAAAGTAACAATATTTTCTATTAATCTTTAGGTTCCTTGACACTGCTTTACTTATTGTCATATTTTATTCTATTATATTCAACAGCAAAACTAAATAAATATCAGTGTCAGTTCATTGCATTAATTTTTAACATAAATATTTCTCGGTGCACTAGCAATTAGTTCTTCCATGCCCCCCTCCGTCCACAATAAATACTGTGGCATAGCTTTAAGATGTATTTTAATAATAGTATTATAGATTTGTTGTCGTTTAGAGCTACATTACTGGTCTTGATTTTGATTCTTGGTCCAATTGCTGATGCAGCGTCCATTTTAATTCAATTAAGGATGAACAAAGGAATTTGGGTGCTAAGATAAAACGGTAAAACTCATTCCATTTCAGGATTTACAATGTTATTACCTCATCAGATGTATTGCATTGAGTGAGAAACTATTTTATGTAGTTCAGTTAAGGGAACGTAAATAATCTGCATCTTTTCTTCATGGATTGTCTATCCTGTTTAATCTTGAAATCGCAATCATTATTTTAGTTTAAGCTGCTCTCTTTCAGTCCGTTGTCCGCAATTTTGTCTTTAAATGTTGTTTAAACTTCTAATAGCAATCCCCCCCCTCCCCTCCCCCGTTATGAAACATTCTGTGACACCGTTAGATAGAGGCCAATATAATTTCCAAACGATCCCGCACGTTAACGTCAGCGGGGTTGGGGTGGGCTGACGTCTTGATGGACCGACTGAGCCGTCTCGGCAAGTCACGGAACTAGGGAATCCCCTCATCTTGTGAGTCATGCCCCCGTGTCGACCAATCACGTAAGGACTGCTTAGTCACCCTCAAACATGAATGAGCCGTCCCTGCTTTGGCGAGAGGTCGCTTGGCAGCCAATCGAATCGCGAGTTCTACCACGAGGACACCGTTCCCGGAGTCAGGTGTTTTAAGAATTTTTGTTGTAAATACTGTGTAGCAAAGACATTCTTTGAGGCTTATTGTGTTCATAATGGCCGCTTAAGTTTATATGAGTGAATTTCTAGTGCGTATTTCGTTGTTTAAAGTGGATTGATCCATTCTGTGACGATTAACTATACACGTATTGAAGCCTAGACACCTAGAGTTGGTGTATCAATGCAAGAGATAACTACAGACGTGCAAAACAATTCTTTATCGAGCAGACCCCGAGCAGGGGGGAAAATGACCACGCGAAAAGGCCCAGGTAAGGGAATTTTGTTTACGTGAAGTAAAACTTGAGTTGCATGGCTTGGTAACGAGATGGAATCCACAGCAGACCCCAGCCACGCCCGCCGGGCATAGACTTGGTGATAGGTAAGCAAACCGTGACAGGTGGCGATGTCGGGAATCCGTGCCAACGACCTAGTTTGTCTCGTGGGCACATGGCAATCGTCGGGGTGTAAGGTCAGTACGTCTGTACAAGTAAGTTCATGCAGTTTATTCGGGCCAGAAAAGAAAAACAAAACATGTTTGTATTTTTTTTTAAAGTGCCTTGTACAACTTTTTCTTAAAAGATGGTCATAAATTTCACTGGTATTAGAAACCAATCTGAAGTATCTAGATGATTCATAGTCTATAGTACAATTTAACTTTGTTTCGTGCACAAATAACTTTTTTGTCTTAGAGTTAAGAGACACGATTGTCAACTTAAGACTTTGAGTGGGCGTATCACGAAACTTGCCACTCCTTCCAAATAATCTGCTGGGGAATTTACACTTCAATTGTTGAACGATAAATGCTTTAGGCTGGTTTGGGAAAGTAGTATAAATAAAATTAAACGGATAAATTAAAATTATGGCTAAAAATAAAAATTAGGAATATGCGTACGTACTTACGCTTAAAGCTTGCCTGTGCAGGGTTGGAATAGAACTTGTATTTGTATACATTACATTAGCTTTGATTGGATTGCAGGACGTCGATACTATCAATTAATCGTGCAGTGTGCAGTGCCAGTAAATATGTTTGGCCCCAGCCACCATTGACTGGGCAGAGATGTGAGTGTTGGCTGGACAGAGTTATGAGAGTTGGCTGATTCTGGGGTATCCTGTAGGTGAAATTCGGTAGCAAAATTAAAATTCCAGTCCAACGGTTCTTAACACAGCGGCATCTGTTGTCCCTAGGCTTCATTATTCTCATAGCACATAATTAGTCAAGATGACTGCATCAACCTGACAATCTCCTTACGGTCAAATTAAGTCGAATGATTTAAGGACACTTGGGTCATTGTTACACGGGAATGATCATCTAATGAGAACTCCTTGCAGGTACGCACACACACACACAAAGGTAGTACAGATAAAGGTCCTTTCCCTTTAATGTTGGGGCCCCATAATATCTTACTCAAAATGTGTGTTGTTTTTCTATAGTAGTTCGTAAGATGTAATCATGTAGTAGTAGGTATATGTCTTATTTATTGTGCAACGCCATTGCTGTGGTAGTTCGTTGACCTGCTCCTTCTGCAGTTTTTGCATTGTTAGGTCCATGGTACGTTGAGTGGAAACTTACAGTTCCAGTGTTTCCCCTATCAATTGACGCCCTAATCACTTGGAGGAAACTTCACGGGGTGCACCATCAAGTGGACTCCCTCTGATCTTGGAAACTCTTGTGTGGTGTCCCCTCCAAAGAACGCCTTCAGCACTCGGAAGCTATGTGTGGTGTCTTCCCCCCCCCCTTTTCTCTTGACCCCGTCACCACTTGCTCGATGGCTAATGCAGTCTTGGCACCTATCTCGATACAGCTGTTCACGTGTTTTAACGAATATATATATATATATATATCTTCCAGAGCTATGTGTGGTGTCTTCCCCCCCCCCCTTTTCTCTTGACCCCGTCACCACTTGCTCGATGGCTAATGCAGTCTTGGCACCTATCTCGATACAGCTGTTCACGTGTTTTAACGAATATATATATATATATATATCTTCCAGCTCAGCATCCAAACACTTTCCCACAGTTTTCTTCATTTAGCATCCCCAGCTATCTATACTAAACTTTATGTGCCACCCACACACTAGCCTTACCCAACTATATGTTAAACTAAGTGCACACACATGCCTTATCAACCAACCATATTCTAAACTAAGTGCACACACATGCTTTACCAAACAACCATATATTAAACTAAGTGCGCACACATGCTTTACCAAACAACCATATACTAAACTAAGTGCGCACGCATGCTTTAATAACTGAGTGCACCCACATGCTTTACCAACCAACCATATGCTAAACTGAGTGCACACACATGCTTTACCAACCAACCATATGCTAAACTGAGTGCACACACATGCTTTACCAACCAACGATATACTAAACTAAGTGCACACACATGCTTTACCAAAAACCATGTACTAAACTAAGTGCACACACATGCCTTACCCAACTATATGTTAAACTAAGTGCACACAGATGCCTTAACCAACTATATGTTAAACTAAGTGCACACAGATGCCTTACCCAACTATATGTTAAACTAAGTGCACACACATGCCTTACCCAACTATATGTTAAACTAAGTGCACACACATGCCTTACCCAACTATATGTTAAACTAAGTGCACACAGATGCCTTACCCAACTATATGTTAAACTAAGTGCACACACATGCTTTTCCTACCAAACATATACTAAACGAAGGGCACCCACACACATTATGCCTTACCTAACCTAAACTAAGTGCACACATCCACAAATATCTATAGAAGAGGGGAGGCGTAGTAGAGCCTGCAGATTAAAGCGTTAACCGCTGTCTCACAACCCGGCGACAAGAAGTTGGCGTACTTTCTCTGGTCAAATAAAGACAACCAGCCTCTGTTTAATTGTTTACAGATTTGATGGTAAAAATGTATCGAGAGTTCTCACGGTCATGCTGATACTTGCAGCGCGAAATGTCCAGTGGCGCGAGATGTCCAATGGCGCGAGATGTCCAGTGGCCCGAGATGTCCAGTAGCGCGAGATGTCCAATGGCGCAAAATGTCAAATGGCGCAAGATGTCCAATGACGGCTTGTGGTTTGCCTGGAGACTATAATTATTATAATACACTAAGTTATAACTCGTCAAACATTGGCGAAAGCAATGCGTGAACTTCCCATCCATCTACTAAAGTTACTTGACATGAACTCACACATTTAAGAGTCCCAATTATTGCTTCCCCCCCCCTTTTTTTTCCCCATGACACTTTTTACTTCACGCCCATGAACTATATGAATATTCTGATTCCCAACCACTTTTAAACCGAATATTTACTAAACCATATTTAAATTGAGACGCTTTCATTTTCCGAAAAGAAAAATAAATCGTACACACCAAAAGCAGTTGCGTTATTTTAAACAAAAAAATCATTTAGTGTAGTTATTTGGAATTATATTTTGCGCGCTATCCGGAAATGGATGGAGTCACACCACAAGCAAAATATATGTATAAGAGATAATACAATGCATTGTTTACATAAGATACAATGATCCATACTATTTAATACGGGGCAATGTTTCCGTAACAACTAATGATTCCTTTGTACTCACTTATACACATGAACACAAATGATTAATGATAATCTTTTAAAATAGCTTTTGCATGATCTGTTAAGCGCGGTTAAACATACATGAGTAATATGCTATTAATAGATTTTATTGCATGGCATCGCCTAGATTGGCTACCGATTTGTTCTGCAAGTTACCACCATTTGAACCTCTCTCTCTCTCTCCCTCTCTCTCTCTCTCTCTCTCTCTCTCTCTCTCTCTCTCTCTCACACACTCTCTCTCTCTCTTTCTCTCTGTATATATATATATATATATATATATATATATATATATATATATNATTTAAAAAACATTTTTTTTTTTTAATATTTCAAATAGAGCGCTGAAGTTTGTTATTTTCCCTTAAAAACATTTGTGGAAATGATGCAATTGTTTCACTATAATCGAAATCTCACTACAGATACAAACAAGCATTATTATAAAGTGAGTTGAGAATTCACCTAGTTTTGAAAGATTAAAATTTCCCCTTCCTTTAGACTACCATAGATTAACCTGATTAACGCATTTAAATATAGCAACGTTTCAAGACGTACTTCACACACACATTCATCGCTTGTGCTTAATAGAGTGTGGTTTTTAACGGTGGTAGTGGGGGATTTGGGAGGGGGGGGTGAGCGTCTTGTTAGCATTGGCACTTAACGTTTGATGTTAGCAGTAGCTTCAACACTTATGATTGGCCAGTTGTCCTTGCAGGTCAGTGTTTCTCAACCTTTTTATGTAGCTGATGACCCAATTTAACGTCGGCCCTCTTCCCTTTAATTAAATGTTACTTGTTACGTTACCCATAAGAAATAAATGATTTATTTAATTAGTGTTTTTTAATCTGCTACAATTACACGTATGAATGAAGGTCCATGTTTTTTTATGAAATCTGGTCGCTTGTTGGCAATATCGTCGTGTACCCAGAATTCTCTTAGCTGGTTGTAATTTAAGTTTGAGACCGAAGGGCACATGCCCAAATGGCCACTGGATCTGAGGGATGGTAATGCTTCGTTTAGTTTGAGACCGAAGGGCACTTGTCCTAATGGCCACTGGATCTGATGGATGAAAATGATTCGTTTAGCTTGACAACCACCAAAGGGCACTTGCCCAAATGGCCACTGATTCTGAGTGAAGGTAATGATACGTTTAGTTTGAGACCAAAGGGCACATGCCCATATGGCCACTGGGCCTGAGTGATGGTAATGACATTTTAGCGTAAGCTCTTTTATTAAACCCTTTGCCGGACAATGACAGGTTCTTGTAATGTCACATGCCTCGCCACTTTGTACATGGCATGGAGAATGTCTGTGAGTGTGATTGACAGTCAACACCAGTTGTTGTTGTTTTTTTATCAAAACATCCTTTTCCTATCCCTCACCTTTGTTGAAAGTCATAACCAGTTGTTGTTTCCAGTAATTTCCGTTCTCTCCCCTTTGTTGACAGTCGTCAACACAAGTTGTTCTATATCAATACATCCTTTTCCCATCTCAATCTCACACCTTTGATTTCGATACCAAAAAAGCAACACTTTACACCATAGGAACGACTATTTCACTTTATAAACTACGTAATAAGGAATATAATTAATTTTAATATATTCATTGATATACAGCCTACCCACGGTGTTGATAATGCTTAATTAAGTGTATGCATGTTTCAAAGTTCAGGACGGGTCATCCTTCCCTAAAAATCGTGATGTAAATTGTCTATTTTTAAAAGCCACCCTTTACAGATTTCGTCATCCGCTTGCAATGACGTCTTTAGGGTCAGTTTGACCTTCACGTCACGCTAGCGCTGGATCAAAGTTTTAAAAGAAAGTAATACATGCATGTATATTTTTTTATGTGGCTTGTTCGTGCGCAGCATCGTGGAAATTGTGGGCTATTTGATATGAACGAAAATGTTCATGGCAATTTTAGGCTATTTGATATGAACGAAAATGTTCATGGAAATTGTGGGCTATTTGATATGAACGAAAATGTTCATGGAAATTTTGGGCTATTTGATATGAACGAAAATGTTCATGGAAATTGTAGGCTATTTGATATGAACGAAAATGTTCATGGCAATTTTAGGCTATTTGATATGAACGAAAATGTTCATGGAAATTGTAGGCTATTTGATATGAACGAAAATGTTCATGGCAATTTTAGGCTATTTGATATGAACGAAAATGTTCATGGAAATTGTGGGCTATTTGATATGAACGAAAATGTTCATGGAAATTGTGGGCTATTTGATATGAACGAAAATGTTCATGGCAATTTTAGGCTATTTGATATGAACGAAAATGTTCATGGAAATTTTGGGCTATTTGATATGAACGAAAATGTTCATGGAAATTGTAGGCTATTTGATATGAACGAAAATGTTCATGGCAATTTTAGGCTATTTGATATGAACGAAAATGTTCATGGAAATTGTAGGCTATTTGATATGAACGAAAATGTTCATGGCAATTTTAGGCTATTTGATATGAACGAAAATGTTCATGGAAATTGTGGGCTATTTGATATGAACGAAAATGTTCATGGAAATTGTGGGCTATTTGATATGAACGAAAATGTTCATGGCAATTTTAGGCTATTTGATATGAACGAAAATGTTCATGGAAATTGTGGGCTATTTGATATGAACGAAAATGTTCATGGAAATTGTGGGCTATTTGATATGAACGAAAATGTTCATGGCAATTTTAGGCTATTTGATATGAACGAAAATGTTCATGGAAATTGTAGGCTATTTGATATGAACGAAAATGTTCATGGAAATTGTGGGCTATTTGATATGAACGAAAATGTTCATGGAAATTGTAGGCTATTTGAAATAAACGAAAATGTTCATGGCAATTTTAGGCTATTTGATATGAACGAAAATGTTCATGGAAATTGTGGGCTATTTGATATGAACGAAAATGTTCATGGCAATTTTAGGCTATTTGATATGAACGAAAATGTTCATGGAAATTGTGGGCTATTTGATATGAACGAAAATGTTCATGGAAATTGTGGGCTATTTGATATGAACGAAAATGTTCATGGCAATTTTAGGCTATTTGATATGAACGAAAATGTTCATGGAAATTGTGGGCTATTTGATATGAACGAAAATGTTCATGGAAATTGTGGGCTATTTGATATGAACGAAAATGTTCATGGCAATTTTAGGCTATTTGATATGAACGAAAATGTTCATGGAAATTGTGGGCGATTTGATATGAACGAAAATGTTCATGGAAATTTTGGGCTATTTGAAATAAACGAAAATGTTCATGGAAATTGTAGGCTATTTGAAATGAAAGAAAATGTTCAAGGAAATTGTAGGCTATTTGAAATAAACGAAAATCTTCATGGAAATTGTGGGCTATTTGAACTAAATGAAAATGTTCATGGAAATTGTAGGCTATTTGAAATGAAAGAAAATGTTCATCAAGTTGTAGGCTATTTGAGATAAATGAAAATGTTCAAGACAATTTTAGGCTGTTCGAAATTAACCAAAATGTTCCACCCAGTAATACAAGTTTCTTCCGCATGTAAAAGTCCTGTGGTGTGGGGGGGGGGGGTTGGCATTGGGGCGCATTTTGCCCTGTTTATCTGTGAAACATAGATCAGTTGTTTTAAGTATTGGATCTATCAACATATCTTTGTACATCATGATTCATAAATTTGTCAGAATATGGTGCGCGCCCATCTGATGTATCTGCCAAAGAGGGGTTTTGATAATACATCCTATTGGACTTAATTCCACGAAGACTCAAGTTGCATCAATAACAATTTATATTTATTTAAAATTTAAAAACAGCAACACTTTATACAAATTCCTCCCATGACAAAGTGCCGGGACTTCAAAACATCGTCACTAGACTTTGACTTTGTAACTGTTCAAGTTATAATTTGACCTGATTTTGAAATGCTTTAGTGACCATTCAAGTAGTACTTGACTCGCGCGTATGAAATGCTTGCGAGACTTCCATGAATGAAACTATTACTTGTGAGTTTAAATACAAACACATCGGGAGCTGTATAAATGGGACGATGCACCAACTTCATTTTTTGTTATATGTTGTATTGCTGGAAGACGTGCATAACAATTTTAAAAAATCAATTTAATAAAATATATGATATCGATTTAATTGTTATGTTAAATGTAAGGTCAACTAATATGTATATGATGAACGTGATCATTTATTTCCATTTTAAAAAAGCTTAATATTTGAACGTGTAAACCTTCTTTGACCTATTGTTACAGTAACTGTCGGTATTTGATATTGATAGGAATCAAGTTTATCACAGGGCTGTCTTATCACAGAGTTGTCTTATCACAGGGATGTCCTACCACAGAGTTGTCTTACCACAGAGTTGTCTTACCACAGAGTTGTCTTACCACAGAGTTGTCTTACCACAGAGTTGTCTTACCAAATTTGATGTAGTTGGGCGGCGGGATTCTAGTTAGTGCTTTAAAATTGTTCAGAAATATCGGATCTCGAATACAATTGAACTTAAATGGGAGCGTCTCTGTGTTTAAGTTACATGTATACCAGCTATATAAATATTCAGTTCAATACAATACTTCACATACTACGTTCCACAAATAAATTTGTTACTAAATCATATTTTATTTATATACGAACGTTTCTGACATCCATTCGTTTTTTATGTCAAAGAATCAATACCTAAAGTGAAAGTTTAGAACTTAACTATAGAACTTATAAACTTTGGAACTCCAAAAACCCTAGAACTCAGCTATATTATAAACTATGGAAATCCAAAAACCCTAGAACTCAGCTATATTATAAACTTTGGAACTAAAAACCCTAGAATTCAGCTATATTATAAACTTGGAACTCCAAAAACCCTAGAACTCAGCTATATTATTATTATAAACTCAAAGAAGCTGCAGAGGTTGTTGTTTTTCCCTCCCAATTTTATTTTTAAACCAGCTTTCCAACTACCACTTCAAGTTCAAGAAGATCTCTATTACGTTTCCGCAAGCATGCGTGGTCCTATGTATATTTGTAAATCTTTTAAAAAATCAAGGCGCTCGGAGGGCAAATAGCCGTGTTGTGTAGAGTAATGATGACAGTAACAAATGTCTCCTTCAGCTAGGCGTCTCAAGCTTTCACCCCCCTCCCCTTGATGGTGTTAATCAATGCAATCTCATTGCACACCCTTGTCACTTGTTGGTGCCAACGGGTCTTTCTTTCACTGAGCTCCGATTACTCTTCATGATCATCTTTTGGCCGTTGTTTTTCCATAGTTGATAAAAAAATTAATCAACATTATTCTTTATATATCGAAAAAATTATTTATCTCCCACATTAGTCCCCTTTCTCCCACATTGGTCCCATTCTCCCACATTAGTCCCCTTTCTCACATATGAGTCCGCTTTCTCCCAAATTAGTCCCCTTTCTCCCAAATTATCTCCTCTCTCCCGTCACAAATTAGTCCCCTTTCTCTATGATCATAAACAAAGGTCGGGGGAACATTCTTAGCTATTACCCCAAAATCTATTTGTTTACGCCGTCGCTCTCCCAATGATATGAAAAGGAAAATATCACACGACAGCAAAGTTAAAAAGGGTTTATTGAAACATTTTACGCGGAGGACACAGCAATAAATATATAAAGTATAAAGGAAATGCGATATTTAAGTCTGCTGAGAGCCCTCATTACGCCCGAGATCGTCATTTTTTACCCACTTTGAGTAATTTACCCCCGACCCCTGCATTACTAAACACCCACTTTAGAAAATAAATCTCTGCGGTCTACTTACCTGCATTTACCTGCCGAATGTTCGAACTTTAAATAGCTTTTTACTCAATGCCCCTTGGCGTGTTTGCACTGATGTTTGATACATCACAATAGCAGGCTGCAGCAGGAAACATCCGTGTACTTCATGGAATTGTTCAAGGATGTAGTAATGTTGTTCGTCCTGTGTTGCTCCAGAAACCAATCTGGAACAAACGCGCCTGGAGATGCGTGGCGTGTTCCGCTGTGTGTGAACAAGAGGTCGAGCTTCACGCGGCTTCTCCAGCGCACCGCGAGAGGTTGATTGTTAACTTCTGAGAAATGCATCCTTGGTGTTAAACTAGGAATAGGATCAAGGATGACAGAAGTTAGGATCACCCTAGATAATGCATGCCATAAAAAATATGCAGGTATTTCAGATCATTAAATTGATTATCATGCGTCAGAAATACATTTCTGCTATACGGCACCCCTCTGATTGTTACATTATCCTGGGGCAACTTATGTCAAATGAGCTTTTCCTTAAAAGTGGATTGTCGCAAAATCTACTTTTGAAAGGGGGGGGGGTGTTAAATATTGTATTTGTATATTGCCAAAAAAAAGAAATCTTTCACATCTGACTTCTACTTCACGGTCTCCTATTACCAGAACCCAGCCCTCCATTATATTCTTTAGATCAGGGGTGTCAAACTCAATTGCTCGGCGGGCCAAAACTCAAATCACATGTAAGTTTGCGGGCCAATTAACATTATTGTTAAAAACATTTAAATAAATAAAAACTGAAAATTTGTAATAATTAAAATTCACCGCATTTCCATTTTCGTTCGTATGCCAAATTTGTCAGAGCTTGATGTTTGGCACATTTTCTTGGCTAAAAAAGAAAATTAAGTTCGTTTATGCTGGGAGTAACGTTCTGTGTCATTGAGATTCTCATGATGAACTGCAAGTCTTTATCACAGAGAATAGCAGCTCACACATACAGATACTGCCCAACATGCTCAAGGTTCGAGCCGCATGTAGACGAAGCTGGGGCATCTCTTCAGGGATGAAACGATTGAACTGTGCAGGCCCAAATGTTTCGTACTTGCCTTTAGTGCCCCATTACAGGTTCCACGCCTATGACAAACGGCTTACGAAACAGCTCGAAATTACACTTCTGTGCTTCAAAGTCACTAAAGCGCCGTGCGAACTCGGCGCGAAGTAAGCTCAGTTTTTCAGCAAAGTGTGCATTGGGAAACACCGTAGCGTTGACATGGATATAATTTAACGCCGGTCAATACCTCGCGGGCCTGATATAATTGTTCGGCGGGCCGGATGTGGCCCGCGGGCCTTGATTTTGACACACGTGCTTTAGATTTTATACCATCTTCCTTTGTAGACATGGAGAACTTGCTGTTTTTCCTTGTAGCACTAATCTGGTCCGGTGGCGCTTAAATAAACTAGTACCAGTAAATAGTATGAATGATCGCTACGGGAAACACCGGAACAAACAACCACATACTGCTACCTACACCTACGGGTCTATCCTACTTCCTGGATTTTGGTATGTGGCTCGAAAAAAAAAAAAGTCCACTTCTTGGAAATACTTAGTTTTTTTAGAAAAATCCGATGTTCGCTATTACGACGCGTGCTTCTAACCGGCTATGACATGGGCCTAGTGGAGATTTTTTGGACCCCGGGGGGGGGGGGTGATGTTACACATGTGTGGCCTTTAAAGATATGCACAAAATAATGCTCCAAAAAAATACCAAACAAAAATAAAACCTCCTTTGATTAAAGCTCTGTGTCAGTGGTTCTCAAAAAAAAAAAAAGTCCCCTTCTTGGAAATTCTTTGTTTTTTTTGAAAAATCCGATGTTCGCCATTACGACGCGTGCTTCTAACCGGCTATGACATGGGCCTAGTGGAGATTTTTTGGACCCCGGGGGGGGGGGGTGATGTTACACATGTGTGGCATTTAAAGATATGCACAAAATAATGCTCCAAGAAAATACCAAACATAAATAACAGCTCCTTTGATTAATGCTCTGTGGCAGTGGTTCTCAACCTTCCTAATGCCGCGACCCTTTAATACAGTTCCTCACAATGACCCACAACCATAACATTATTTTCATTGCCACTTCATAAATATGTTTTTTCCGATGGTCTGTGTAAGGGTCGCGACCCACAGGTTGAGAACCGCTGATCTATGGACAAGCCACTAGACGTGGGATAGTGGTTTGAGGGGGTGGGTGTTAAAAGATTTATTAAGTCAACTATTACCAAGAAATATTTCCTTATGCTATAAATATAAATGTATAGCATTCTATTTTAAGAAATGATTTTTCTAAAATGCAAGTTAGCGATCAACAGGTTGGGGGGGGGGGGGGGGGGAATGGGTAAAGGGTTTTTTTTTTCTTGGGTTTTGTTTACGTGGGGAAAACGGGAATAGAGTTTCAATCGTGACATTTCATATGTCGCCAATTACATTATACTGGAAAATTGAGTTTTAAAATATTTTCCTTTACAGGAATTTATTATATTTAAAAGCCCCTTTCCCAATAAATCGTACTTTACTTCTATATCAGTGGTTCTCAACCTTTCTAAAGCCGCGACCCTTTAAAAATATTCCTCATGTTGTGGCGACCCCCAACCACAAAATTGTTTTCGTTGACACTTTATAACTGCAGAGTATATGTGTTTTCAGATGGTCTTAGGCGACACCTGTGAAAGTGTCGTGCGACCCACAGGTTGCGAACCGCTGTTCTCTATGAATGTGGTTGTGACTTGAAAACGCTTGAGGACCTGTTAACAGAAGAGCTACTGGGTTTAGTAATTCAGCGCAGTCAACTAGATTGTACAGGTGTTGCCTTACGGCGATCATTTGTGACAGTCTCTCGCTAGCTGAAATATATATTTTAAACGAAAAAATTGTATTATAAAAGTGTGAACCCGGGTTTGGCTTTTGTTTACTGAAAATCGTGCGGGATCCCGAGAGAGAAACTCTAGTGTGTGTGTGTGTGCCCTAGAGTGTGTGTGTACCCTAGTGTGTGGGTGTGTTTCCTAGTGTGTGTGTGTGTGTTTACCCTAGTGTGTGGGTGGGTGTACCCTAGTGTGTGGGTGTGTGTTTACCCTAGTGTGTGTACCCTAGTGTGTGGGTGTGTGTTTACCCTAGTGTGTGGGCGTGTTTACCCTAGAGTGTGTGGGTGTGTGTACCCTAGTGTGTGGGCGTGTGTACCCTAGTGTGTGTGGGTGATAGCATGGGATATATTTTCATGTGCAATAATCGGTAATACTTGAGATCTATGCCCCTTGAATGTATAATTAGGTTGAGAATGAAGTGGGACGGTGAAATCAGGTCCCTTTGAACGAAGAGGCACTTGTTATATTTTTTAAAGCGATGCAAAAATAAGCTGGGAATTTTTTTAACTAAATGTTGCAGAAGAATAGATAAATTAAGAAAAGGAACTTTTGCCGTATGAATGTTTTCCGGTGGTTAAGGCAGAGGAGTGAACAGTACATGTGACATGTAGTTTTTTCGCAATCTCTTTTTACAACGGTATAGTATAAGCATTTGGTCTCATAGATACACATTTCCGGGAAAATGTTGATGTATTCGTCGTTGTCTATATTCTATGACTTAGACTTAGGTAAATTAACCGTTCTAGCTTACCAGGCCGTGCGTGCAGGAGTGGTAGGCGTACAAATATTACGGAACTGTGTGTGTTGTGAGAATCAAAAGAGTTGTCTTAAACGATCCTAAAGAAATTGTTTTGCTTATGTGAAATGTGTGTATAAAGCAGTTAAGGAACAAATCAATTGTCCACCGACCGCCCCCCCCCCCCCCCCTTTTCTATGTGAACCTGACCACTGTCCCCTATGAATATTTTGGGGCGCATATTGTTAACTGAGTCATTGACCAGACGCGAGGGTGATTGACGCATGAATCTCGGGGCGGGGGATTATGTGAAATGTGTGTATAAAGCAGTTAAGGAACAAATCAATTGCCCCCCGCCCGCCCCCCCCCCGCCCCCTTTTCTATGTGAACCTGACCACTGTCGCCTATGAATATTTTGGGGCGCATATTGTTAACTGAGTCATTGACCAGACGCGAGTGTGATTGACGCATGAATCTCGGGGTGGGGGGGGGGAGTTGTCTCGCCGCGCGAGGAATCACACTGTGTCGGCGTGTGAGGGGCTCTGTAAGGGTGCACTCCCCCAATTAAAAACGTTACAGTACTGATGATGGCCCTAACAGAATACGTGAGGCAAGAAAATGGAAATGTTACTGCTTGAAGACCCTAAATGTAATATATTTCTGACCTTAAAGCCTATATGTTCATACACTACTGACCTTAAAGCCTACCATGTTCATACACTACTGACCCTAAAGCCTACCATGTTCATACACTACTGACCTTAAATCCTACTGTGTTTATACACTACTGACCTTAAAGCCTACTATGTCCATACATTACTGACCTTAAAGCCTACTATGTGCCGACATGTCTGCCCCTAAAGCATATGCACATACACTGTTACCCTTAAATGGCTTAATGTCTACTATGTGCAGGTTGTTTGTCATAAAGCCTACCATGTGCACACTTTTGACCTACATGTACAGATGCTATTTAGCCACGTGTACGGGCACTGTTCACTTTGTCTACAGACTACATTTACACTACATTAGGGTCACCAAATCATGAACTGGAGAATAAAAAAAACAGACACACACACAAGGAGGGTTGGGGTGGGGGGATACCCTCCAGCTAAAGAAGGATCCGGGGGGGCCCCCGCCGAAAACTTTCTATTGAACTATGTTAAATTAACTATTTTGGAACCTAGAAATCTCTTTAAATTACCTACGCTTTTTTAATTTAATATAAAACGCTGAGGCATATCATAAACGAAAACAATATTTTTACAGTGAATATTTATTTATTCATAAATATTTTACAACATAATACAACACAGGAAATTAAATGAAGCCATCACGTGAGCCCACATCACTACTGGCACTCGCTGCACATCTAGCCAAGATATTACTTGAAGCTATATTATAAATTAGGAACTCCTTTACGGTAGCGCCCAGCACATGAGGCGCGCCGTAGAAATCGTGTCCGGGGTCCTAAGAGATTGAATCTCGACCCTTTTGAGTATTGATCTTTATTAGTGATTTGAAAATGTGTTTGGTTTTAGCAACGGGACGTTTCGGCGTCCCGAGAGACTTCTTCGGGACACCGGGTACGATCGAACGGGACAATCCCGTTTTTACGGGACGTTTGGTCATCTTACTCTACATGCCACTTGTGGCGCATGCTACGATCGTATTATGTTGTAAAAGTTACTAAAAGCCGGCATGATAGTACAGAATATAGACGGACACATTGTTTTTCATGTTTATTCACTTAAAACCCCTTCCCGAAGTTTTCAGATTGATCCACCACTGCCTGCTGTTGTGTTACTATAAATATCATTGTCATTGTATAATTGCTTTGGTGGCGGGGTGTCTGCTCATTTTCCTTAGACCATCGGCCTCACAAATAGTAACATTTTGTTTTTTTTTTTTTTTTTTTTTTTTTTTAAGTAAGAGAATGCTTCTTTTCACCTGATAAATTTTAGACTCCTCCCTTAACCAGAATACATATCAATACTACAATGCAAAATAAAAATTTGAAGGGAAAAAAACAACACTTGGAGCAGAATACTTTTTTTAGCTGCAGAGCCGCCAACATACATTTGCTAGTCAGGAGAAGGGGGGGGGGTGTGGTGTAGGGGGTGGTATCCCTTTCCACAACCGACAAATATTTAAAAATTTGGTTGGAAATTTTAGTTTAACAAAATCAATTTTTTTTTTTATTTTACTCTAGTAAAAATACTATAATTTATAATTACAGACCACCCCCCAAAGATTTGGTGAAGCTGTTTGTATGATGCGTGGCATTGATTATTTTATTTTAGGCAAAAAGACTAATCCTGTATTAATAATAATAGATATTAACTAACACTTCATTTGTCAATAAAATATGTGCATTATGTAACAGTGACAGAACAGTTGTGTTATATACTTTCTTTCCGCCACGTTATTTAATATATTGGACTTTATACTTCTTATCAATGAGTCCTAAAAGCCTGTTATTCAGCTCTAAGAAATGTACTTTTCTGAAAAATGCACTGTTCTGAAAAGCTGGTTTCCAAATTGACAATCATTCTTTTTATTTACTTTTACTTTTTTTCCAAATAATGTATGACTTAATAATAATGTCTTAGCTTAATTTGTTATGATAAAAATCTTTTTACATAATGGAATGTCAGCATTATTTAAATTTAAATCCTTCTTTATTGCAAGGAGTTAAATTAACAACATTTCATAATGAAATCAAAGCTATTACTCCTTAAAAACTGATTATTATTTTTTTACAGGTGGTAAAACAATTTTTTTTAAATAATTATGGATTAGAAAATAACTAAATCAATTATAATAATAATTGTTTAATTTCTTTGTTTCAGGAAAGAAATTTGTGGGGAAAGGAATAAATATTCCAGTTGATAAAGACCCGGAAACCAAAGCCTTAACTCAGTAATAATTGTTTTATGCCACTAAGTTTATATTAGAAGTATAATTTGGATGTAAATAATAAATGAGTGCACATTTTGCCACAAAGATACTTCCTAAAAATTCATAACATCACTATAAAAAAAAACCTGCATACATTATATTCTGCAAAATGCTGGTTTATGTTAAATTAATTTGTTAGTGCATATTTTCTAAAAGTTATATTGTCCAATCCAAGATGATACACTTCTAAAATAAATGTTTGTGTTCAGAAATGATTTTATAACAAATATAAATAGAGAAATCTGAGCACTAAGATTGCTAGTTCTGACTTATGAGGGAAAATTAAAAATAATAAAAGGGCATTTATATTTTTGTAGACCACCCAGGCCTGATCTAGACTCGAAAGCAACCTTGACTATCAATGGCCAGAAGTTTGAGTGTGACGCTAGTGACCTTGTTCATAGAAGGTTCCTTGGAAGGGGTGCATACGGTGTTGTGGAAGAAATGATACACACAAGAAGCAGTACTGTTTTGGCTGTTAAGGTATGCTTTATTTTTAAATATTTTAAAAGACACCATTTGTTAATTTAATTTTTTAAAATATTATTTTATGTTCAATACTTTTTTAAAGTGGATACTTAAGAATTATTTGACATATTGCGTTGTATAATATATCAGATTGAAACTTACATGCTAAAGGAATGAGTTTTACATTTGTTTCCCTTGTAGTAAACAAAATTTCTGATTTCTAGAGCAAATAAAAAAGACTGAAATATTTGGATTAAATAGCTATTACTGTAAATGTTTCATTAATGTAATTAAACATACTTCTTAGCGAATAAATGCTACCGTCAATAATCAAGAACAAAAACGTCTGCTCATGGATCTAGACATCAACATGAGAAGTGGTTCTTGTGAATACACAGTTGAGTTTTATGGTGCACTTTTCAGAGAGGTAAAATTTTATTAAAATTAACCATTCCTTTTTTTCATAAATAAATCATGTATACTTTTAAAGATTTTTATCAGTACAAAATGTTCACTATCCTATTTTTACATTATTTACATGTTATTTGAGTTTGGACTGATTCAAATTAAGGTGCTTGAAAAATTAATAAGGCTAACAAAAAATGGCAAATAATTCCTTAACCGCTAGCTAGATAACTTTGATTGTGGTGTAAACAAATATTTGTGTCATTCTTGGATCTAAAATAAAAAGCATGCAAAAGCTTTTTTTTAAGTTATGGAACAATTGACATTTAATAAATTAAACTTTAAAAAAAAAAAAATTATATTAAAAATACGATCTGCTTAATTTAAGTTTTATGTTGTTTTTTTTTTATTCTTAGGGAATAAAAAAAAAAAAAAAATTATATTAAAAATACGATCTGCTTAATTTAAGTTTTATGTTGTTTTTTTTTTTTATTCTTAGGGAGATGTATGGATCTGTATGGAAGTAATGGAAGCATCTCTTGATCAGTTCTACAAAAAATTAAAAACACACCATGAAAAAATTCCAGAGAATGTTATGGGTCAGATAGCCAAATCTGTAAGTTATTTCATAAAATATGTCTCTTCTTCTTCTTATGCCTTTTTACCCCATCTGGAGCATAGGCGGTCCACAAGAATTTTCCATTCACCACGGTCCTGTGCTTTTCTTTCCAACTGCTTCCAGGTGTACCCCATATTTTGCGTGTCTGCCTCTAGCTCCCGTCTCCATCTTTTTTTGGCCTTCCTCTCTTTCTTTTTTCCTGTGGATTCCATGTTAGAGACTGTTATCTGGGGGTTTTCGGAGAGTATGCCCTACTCACCTCCATCTTTTCTTTATGATGTCTTCATCAATGGGCACCTGGTAGGTCCTTTCTAGTAGATCTTTGTTGGTGATGGTATTTCGTCAGGATCTTTCTAAGGCATGTGTTTATGAAGGTCTGAACTTTCTGCGTAATGCTCGCTGTTGTTTTACATGATTTTGCTCCATATAGTAGGAATGTTTTGACATTTGTGTTAAAGATTGTGACTTTGGTTTGCAGCTTCAGCTCCTTCGACTCCCATATTTTCTTTAATAGCAAAAATGCTGATATAGCTTTTCCAATTCTAGCCCTCACATCCGTGTCGAATCCGCCATTTATGTCGATGGTTCTGCCAAAGTATACTGAGTTTGAGCTGTGCTAAAATGGTGGCTACTTCTTTTATCTTTTCCTGCATTTGTTTCTGGTTGTGGGACAGAAGTGCAATGTTATATGCAAAGTCTAGGTCATTAAGTTGTTCCCAGAGTTTCCACTGTATCCCATTCCTCTTTTTGTCTGTGGATTGTTTCATTATCTAGTCAATGGGGAGGATGAATAGGAAGGGGGACAAGGATGTCTCTTGTCCCCCCTTCCTTAAAATATGTGGCATCATAAAATTACAAGATTACAGACCTGTTTACTCTTACGATTTTGGCGTACAATGTACGATTTTGAGGTGTAAATATATATATTGTATGCTTATTTTTTACTCTAAATATAAGGTATTGAACGATTTTGTGATGATATTGTACGATTTTAAGTGTTTGAGGGTAAACAGGTCTGAGATTACAAACCAAAGTCACCTTAAAGCAGAGTGCAAAATTTGGTCAAAAGTTTTGTTCTCATTTTGCCACTTCCATGATAGGCTGTGCTTAGAGAGTATCAGGTGGGAAAAGTGGGGTGGTCAGCTAATGAGCTGATCATAGGAGATTTTAAAAGTTTTCTCCAGTGACATTGAATAAAGCAAATTTTATTGTTGATTACAGAGACAAAGTCCTGGTTTACAGCACACTCTACACGATTTAAAGAAGGCATAACCAGAAGCTTTAAAAATCATTAAATATTTGCACTTAACTTAATTAATTATTTCATTTATCTTCATGAAATAAAATAAAGTTTTAATGTCATGTTTTACCAAACAAATAATTTACAAAAATAATTTAAATCCTGCACTATTGTTTCCCGCTTAAAATAAGAAAAAATACCTGAAGTAGATGGTACTTCTGTTCAGTGGTTTAAGCAGCAGCATAATCACATCTAGATATTCTTTGTTACTGTATTGCTTACGCTGACATATTATTTTATGGAGTTGGCTAATGAGCGGGCTATACACTATTCAAGTTTTTCCCGGCCAAAACTGGGGAGTCAGCTTATGAACAAACATGCTTTAGAACAAGTATCTACTATATTTTTTTTTCCACACCTATGTTAATTTGTAGCATTAAAGAACATCTTAAAGGAACATGATTTAATTCCTCTAAAATAAATAAAACATAAATAGTCCTACTATAATGAATTTTGAGAGAATCTGAAGTATTTACTTTTATTTTTACCATTTTTATCAGATATAAATTCAAACTGTTTATGCATCTTCTTAGCTGAAGACAGATGCAAAATGAAGTTCAGTTTAAAATTATAAATAGCATTTGTTTTAATTTGAATGTATCCATTACATTAAAGTGATTTCTTTCTTTCAAAATATTTTTTGTCAAGGTTGTCCAAGCCCTGCATTATCTTCATACAGAGCTTCATGTGATTCACCGTGATGTCAAACCTTCCAACATACTCATCAACAAAGCTGGTGCTGTCAAAATCTGTGACTTTGGCATCAGTGGCTACTTAGTGGACTCTATAGCACGGACTAAAGATGCAGGATGCAGACCTTATATGGCTGTAAGAATTGTATTGTATGCAAGTACATGCATTTTAAATTAAGGTTGTCCGCATTTGCATCATGCAAGTTTTAATTGCTCCATCACCACTATTTTATCTTTAAAGTCCAGATAATGCTGATGTAAAAAAATCCCTGAGATCATCTCAGATATGTTCAATTGTTTTCTTTAATTTTTTCATAATGGAAGAAACAACTGAAAAATTAAAATTGTTTTTTGTCACGCATTAAAAATTTAAATAATATGGATTAACATGGCCAACATTAGAAATGGTTCAATACACATATGAGAAAAGACATTATGAGGTAGATTCATCTACTTTGACTTACCTTGGAAGCATTTTTAAAGATGTTTTAAAGACAAAGAAGACATTTTAGAAAGTGAGGGCAGTATTCAGCACACTGAATAAGAAGTGTTATTGATGATGAGTCCATATGACTGTTTTTCTCACATCAAATTTATTCACATATTCTTGCATTGTAATCTTATTAAAAAACTGAGCACAAGTCCTATTCAAGAACAACGTAAACTTTAATCTATCATATGGTTGTACAATAATTCAAACACATAGTACAGCTTGCGAGAGCAATACAATGCAACCTTCTCATTCAATGCTGAAACAGCAACTGCCAAACGAATAGCATGTACTCAAATACAGTCTAGACCACTACATCACAGATACACAAAATCATATCATCAAAATACTTCACAAGCCTCATGGCTCCAAGAACTTCATCAACAAAACTAACACTCAAGACACACCACGCACAAGAAGATACAAAATTCAGTGCCCAACAATTACAAGTCAATATCCATGATTGACAGTTGACCTAACTGATTTTTACCACAATTGCATTCCACTGATCTAAAATTAAATTGTTTACAACCTTAAAACAGCCTTTTTTAATGCAATGCTGCTTAACATTTTGACTGAATTATAAACCCCAGTTATAATCCATTCCATTTGGATTGCATAAAAGTACTACTCTACAGTCAAAATTATGCACTTTTTTCTTTTCTTTAAAAACTTGGAAACAAAATGACAATTCAAATGCAATACTGATAAATTTTCAGGGAGTGGATGGCAATTTCTTCAAGTTACATTTATTTTATGTTTCAAATGGATCTCAATGGTGCTAGGACTGTGTTATACTATGATATATTTTCATTGCAGCCGGAGAGGATAAACCCTGATAATAGTGGAAATGGATATGACATTAAATCAGATGTTTGGAGCCTAGGAATAACAATGGTAATATTATTTTTACAGTGATTCTAACATTTCTTAAACCAGTGTAATTTAAGGGGATGGTTATAATTGAATCCAATTTTAGGATGTCCCACTAAATACTTGAGCATTTCTTTAACTATCCATTACCTAACATTCTAACATATGAAACATGAATTATGTGTTCTATCCCTGACTAAAATACCAGTACACTTCTTAATAACATATTTGATGTAACATTCTGACTAAATACTAAGGGGATAAATAAAAACTGTTACATGTTTTTGGAGGAATGATAAAATATATTAATTTTATTAAAGATTATTTTTATGTAATGTCTTATTTAGTACAAATATTTTAATATTATATAATAATATTAGTATGGCTTAGTGATTTAATTAAATCAAAATGTATGATTAGTTGCAATAATTTTGTTTCAAACTTTTAGATGGAACTGGCCACAGGAGAGTTTCCTTACTCCAAATGGGATTCTCCCTTTCAGCAAATAAAACAAGTTGTTATGGAAGCATCACCCAAACTTCCAGCTGATCAGTTTTCTCCAGAATTTTGTGACTTCATTGAGAAGTGGTATGCATTTTTGAACAATTTAGACAACTAACTTAAGGATGTTATGTTTACTTAAATATTTAAAATACAAAAAAATTGCTGAAAACTTGCTTTTCTTTCAAAAGTAAATTATTGGTGATTTTTTAAAAATCTTGTGTTGTTTAGTTAACCCACTCATATTCAGGGCCTTTTTAAATGCCCGCAGCGTCCCACTTGTCTGTCTACCTACCACCTTCCACTGCTATATTATAACTTAAATTTCATTTACACAAATGCTGGCGTTTAATGCTTTTCTCACAAGAACTTTTCTCTTGAAGAATTCCAAATAAATCTTAATCTTTCCCATATCTAATTTACAAGAACATGGCTTTCCATTGTCTAGATAAGATTATAAGCAATCTTAGAAGATGAAACTATCAATGAGGTTGATATACAAATCTATTGAATTGATAGAGAGTGATGGTGATCATCCTATTTGAAAAAAAAATATATACAAATTATTACTAGTTAATGAAATAGCAGTACGAGGTATGTTGAAGCTTGAATCAATTGACAGGACAATAAGATTTGAACGTTTTGGCATAGAGCCTTCTTCAGCCCACAGGACAAATGAAAATACCACAAGAAACAGAGCACAACTCCAGAAATATCCATTTTTATTGCCGGTAGTAAGATTACAGGAAGTGAGAGACTATAAATATTGACACTGAGAAAAATAAGATTGAGAATTATAATGGACCAAAATATCCAGGGATTCATAAAATCAAAGCAATAAAAAAAAAATGGTAGAAATACAGAGAATATGATTAATACCATTATAGAGATATGGTGCCGAACAGCTGAATAAATTTAATTTCCATTTTAACCCTCTCTGGTGTGTTAGTGCAGGAAATCAGTGCCGTAATGGGTACATCTAATGCACCTTTATTTTCATCTCTGTTGAAATGTGAAGAGACTGAGGAAAGTTAACCTTGTTCAATATCCCGGAGTTGTTCGGTGAACCTATCAGCCAATTTTCTCCCAGTTTTACCTATGTAACTAGATTGGCACCTTTAAGGAGGCTAATGCTTTTAGTGTGGAGTGTAAAGGGACAAGTCCTACAGCAGTTTCTTAAGCTGGTTTAGTACCAAAGTAACACGGGTCAGATCGAAAGTGACTGTGAACCATAAGGTCACCTAGATTTTTGTCCCGTCTAAAGACAATCAGGGGAGGGGATGAGAATACCCTAGTACATTAAAAGAAATTTAATTAAAATTGCATTGAATCAATATTCAACTTCCGATAGTGTAATCATGAAGGCTGTTTTTATGTGACCTTATATTTATGGGTATACTTTAATTTCATAAATATTTTCATACCACTTTTTATTCTTTTTTTAATAAGCATTTTTTTTAAATGACTGTTTGCTTCGGCATATGAGTGTATTAACATCAAAAGAAGGTCAGGCAAGATTGGGTTTATTAGTTTCTTTTTCTCTTTGAAAAGTTTGCTTAATTATTTTTCACATTTTTGTCCTCAGTTTGAATAAAAATTACAAAGAACGTTTAAATTACACTCAGCTTCTTGAGCACCCCTTCATAAAAAAGGCTGAAGAAGAGAAAGTAGACATGGCAGGATATGTGAATCAAGTTATAGAAAAGTATGGTAATCTCAATGAAAGTGCCACTTGAGGTTTGTTTAGGAGTTAGGAAATATAATGTGCTGATTGAAAAGTGTGTTTGACATAGACATAGGCATGAATTTCTTTTGCATCAGAAAAATTTAAGAAATGAGGTGTTTTTTTTCTTTCTTTCTAGCTGTTATTCATTTTAAAAAATAATGCCTTTCAACTGACTCTTCCCCCACTGATGCACCATGTTTGGTTTCCTTGTTGAAGTGGTATAACTGCTAAAACAAAAATCTGATGACCTAAATATCATGAAGGGTGAAAGTTGTATACATATTGTACAAAATACATAATAACCTATTAAAAATTTATTTTAACTTGAAATGTAATTTATGTTTTAAAAGTAAGATTTTTAGAACTCTCACATGTACACATTAACATACACTGATGTTTTTAAACATTTTAAATATTTTCTCAACTTTTATACATAGATGGATTTTTAATTTAAGAGAAATGATTATTTTTTTGTTTAAAAATGAGTTTTAAATTAGTGGTTTAATTGAAATTAGGGTCATTAACCTACCTGTTACCTGGGGGTTTTCTGGGTTTTTTATGTGTATTTTAAAAATAATTTGAATCTAAAGTTTTCCATCAACCTCAGATTCCAATACTAGAAGCAATTAAATTGTTATATATGTGCGCATGGTTCATTGGTTTAAAAATGAATTTTAACGTGATCAAATTTGAAAATAAATATGTATATAATTAAATTAATCTATATGTGTGTGCATGTGTGTACATATAAAATATGTGACATTTTTTAATTATAATTACCAAAAAATTGTTATAACTTGTTATGCATGCTTAATCTACTATTTATATGATATGTGTATGAATGAAGACAAATTAGAGGTAAAAACTGTATTCTTTTTTTAAAACTCTCATTTGTGATTGACAATTCATCTTAAAGTAAACAGCTGTGCCTTAAACTAAAGGCTTATTAATTTTTTAATTAGAGATCAATTTGGCCAAAAAAAATGGAATACCGGTACGTTAACATTTAATACTGTTACAGATAAGAAGCTGAAGAGATGTTTATAGTTCCTAAAAAATGCTTGTTGGTTAAGCTATGCAAATTATGAAAAGCTCTCTTTGAATACAAGTACTTGAATTGCAATAAAAATAAAATTTGATGACTATTACTATTAGGTTTACAAAGTGTCAGGCTACATGTACTACCCTTTTTTTTTAAAAAAATTATCAACTACCCTTTTTTAAAAAAAAAGTATCTTTCCTTTAATTTTTATACAGGAAGAATCAATTGTAGATCCATACACATCTCTCCCATTAAGTTTTTAAACTTTTATTTGAATTTTAATTAATTTACATAGCCATTGGTTTATCTCTTCATCTTTTTAGAATTTATTCTATTTAATTAAGGAATATTGCATTTCCAAACCACTTAATACAATCAATTTTCTTTTTAAGTTATGATTTAAAAACTAGGTTAATTTAATGGTACAGTAATGTTATATTAATTTAATATTTGAGCACCAAATTTTTGTATTCGCATCTTTTCTTAATTGATGAACTTTTAATGCTTGCAATAGAATTCTCTTTTATTAGCTTTAAGATTTAAAACAAATATATCTCCATGGCGATGAGTCCTTAATATTATTATCATTTTTTTATGTTTAATCACAATAATCTTCATTCTTGGTTGAACTTCTTAATCCTAGATCATGCTTGACACTCATTATTCCTCTTTTGACTGTGGTATCCAAACATTGGCGCTGCAATAGTTAGTTTTGGAAAAGGGAATTTTTTGTTTATTACACACATTTTCATATCAGCATAAGTTTTCTTTCAGCACTTGTGATGAAGTTTGTTGTAAAGTTTATTCACCTATCACATGACTAAGAAATTTTTGTTTCATCAAGCAAATGTCAGGATATTTATTATTGTTAATCTGTTTTGGATGGATCTTCTGGCATTCAGTGTGTAATGGTCTAAAAAAAAACTTTAGCTACAGCACTTTTCTCCAAATGCCAATAAATGTAACATTGTATTCATATCTTCTTCATTCATACTGTTTGACACTGGAAGTTCACACTATGATGATGTCATCTACTAAATTGAATGAACACTAAGAACTCTAAGAAAATACAGCACACGACAACACCAGAACTAACCATTCGAGAGTTCTCAACACACTCTACTCTCACTAACCACAACTCTAATGTTCATACACCAGATAATACACATGACATGTTTATTATTTCTCTTTTCTACCACTGACATTCAGATGCAAAAATACCTCTTGACTCCCAACTCGCAATGTAAAAGCATTTACCCTAAACACATTGATTCAGATACCTTGACAGTACCATAATTGAAATCATTTTTTTTTTATTTTTGTAATTTTCCAAATTTATCAAAGAAAATTATCAAACATATAGTTCAGTGCTTCTCAAAGTAGTGGTCCAAAGAAGGGGAAAATGCTCAAAGCTTGAAAAATAAAAATCAAATTAATTTTGACACTGGTCCCTGCTGCTATGTAGATAATTTATGTTGTCTGTCAATCTTGAAAGTTTGAGTAGCACTGGTTTAGTTTACCTTGACTTTGCTTTTATTTCATTATCTCAATCAAACTGTATACATTAGATAGTAATAATCTGTGTGTGAATCTGGATGTATAGTATTGTCACAACTGTGCTTTAGCAAAAGCAAAATGTTCGTTGACAGGTTGATCAACACCTATTAGATTTCATTATTGTGAAAGTATTCATTAAATTTGTTTGTAATTTTGCAAGGATATAACCACTATATATAATTTATTTACATTATCTCTGCCAATTTTACTTGAAATTATTAATTTTTTTTTTGTAGTCTTGATAATGTTACATTCACTTACAATGAGGAAGCAAGTGAGGCTTAAAACACAACAGAAAAGTGTTTATAATATACAAATGGACATATTAAACAGTATTTTATAATACTTCAGACATCATAATACATTCAATTTACTTTTATTTTAGAGCCAATTTCACAACTCTAGCATTAACTAACTAAATTATTTCATGTCTTAGAATTGTTACAACACTGTGATAAACATAGTTTATGGTTATCAGTTACTTGTGTAGAAATTATTCACTTTTTATCTCAGAAATGTTAGCTCAATGGCATAGTTTTTAATTTAGTAATTATCTACATAATTTGTCCTATTTGGAGCTTCAGAATAAAAATAGTCCAAATAGTAGCATAAAAAAGCACATTTTACAGTTATGCTTTAGGAAATCTGTACAACGCTCTTCTTTAATTTACTCGCTAAACTAAGTTAGCGAAGGTTCAATTTTTCATCTCTTTCCAATTGTGGGGGGAAAAGCATTTTTTTTTAACACATCGAAAATGTTCAATGTGATTAAAATAATTATTTTTTTTAAATCAGTCAACATGATGGAATAGAAATGCATGTCTTATCAGCATTGCGGATCTATGATCACCAGATTAGCTTTTTAAAATCCAATGGGTCATCAGGACTGCTTTCAAAAGACAAAGCCTAAGTATGTTGAAATCTATCTTTATTGATTAGGATTATACCCCTTTGTCTTTAAGACTTGTCTTAATATTTTTACACTTTCTTTAATTTAACAATCCTAACAGTTGTGTGAATGAGTTTACTATTTAAGCAATATTATATTAATGAAAGCTGGTTCGGCGAGATGGATACCAAATTAAGTACATTATTGCTTAACAATATTCTTATGCAAGAGAATTTTATTTCATTATCAATAAATTGTTCTGTAGTTGCTTTTTGTTTTAAATTGAATATGCATCTCTTATGTGGTTTATTTTTTATTTTTAAGAGTACCCTATAATTTAATGAGCAACAAAGAAATATCAGTAGTAGGTGGTGGTGTTTTATAGGCAATTATTACCTTGACATTAAAACATATGTATGAGGTCTACCACTCTGTGGGCATCAAAGACTGTACCGCAGTTTCCAGATAGACCACTTTCAAAGTTGGAATTGAGCTAATATAAATCTTGACAACTCCGTTCCTTACAACACAATAAAGATGGCAACCAGTTTTGTAAAGATTCCTGCTTTTAAAAAAAAAATTAGAACAATGAAATGACAAGGATTTTTATTTGATTACAAGTATTTTTGCAGTACCTAACATTGTATATCAACAATGCGCATGTGCAAATCATTTGTGTAATTCATACCTCATCAGAAAAAAAAGTAACTTAAATGCTGTGTAATGTTGTGTGCTAGAATGCTTTGAATGGTTTGTATATGTGAGGACAAAGATTGGGATAAGTATCTATTGTACATACAATAAACTTTAAAAAACAATTAGTTTTTTTCTGTTTTCTTAATTTAACAAATTTTATATATATCTATATCAATATATGAATGGAGCGTCTACAAAAGCGGCACAGGAATAAGATTCCATACCGTAATCGGTGAAAACTAACTGTTCAACTTATCTAATGAAAGTTTTGATTGCTCACTTGTGACTAAATCTGGTAACTGCTGTGCTGCCTTTGAAAAGGCCAGAATAATGCATACAATAGTTGGACTGGATAAGTCTTGTTTTCATATTTTTTGTTAAAACACTACACCTTTATACTTTATAAGAATTGAAAAGTTTTTAAATCACCCTTGCCGTGTGCCTAACATAAGCTGCTGCTCCCTTCCAAGTAATCCCACACACTAACGTATAGGAAGTGTGGTGATGTCCGTCCGGGTGGCAAATTTTTTTTCCTACATGTTGAAGTCTGGCATTTTTGGCCAATTGCATAGTATTTTATTTGGCAGTGACCCTAACAACGTCACTGATCCCACCCCTTAGCTAATCCCCCCCCCCCAAAAAAAAAAAAAAAAAAAAAAAAGGTTTCCCCTCTCCTCGATAAAAAAAAAAAAAAACAAAAAACAACTGTTTTCCATGCTGCGATATAAACGCAAACCTGTCAAAATTCTTAAACTCAGGCTGTTCACTTAATAGTGGGACAGTGAATTGGAAATTGGACAACACTGAGTAAGAGGGCCGATAGTGATCTCCTGACTAACGTGGCTGTCATGGATAAGACCCCCAGTTTTCAAACTTATTTCTGAGAACAACAGCGTGCTCAGCTCTAGACTTGAATTAGGACAGGGTTTCCCAACCTAGTCTATATTCTGCACCTTTAAATGAAATAATACATTCTGTTAGTAAAGGGGGCGAGCTGTATCTCTTTTCTGGCCCCAGCAAGCACTTTACAGACGTCCCGCATCTTCTGGGCATCGCCGTGAATCAGACCTTCTGCGTGGATGTCTTGGGGTGTTCCACCCCCCTCCATTCCTTAGCATTGGACGCTCTCAGCTAGTTAGTGCATCTCTGCATCCGGCGCCTGTCCGCAGTAACGACAGCTAACGGGGTGTTTAATTTCACCGCTCTCCCAATTCTTTAACCACTCCTCTAGAAAGGGGTCTTTCAAAAAAAACCTTGACCCCAGCCCTCCAGTTGGGTCATTGGTCGGTTTGATGTGGCTGGTCAGACACGATAGTCATCTTTATCGTTTTGTGGTAATCCAGCGTGTCCAGGGATCCACCGAAGGACCACTCTGCCTCCATGTGATTGCATACCTTGGACCTCTACGAAGACCACTCTGCCTCTATGTGACTGCAGAAAAAAATTTGTGACGTCACAAAATTAATTTTAAAAATCTAAAATGTTCAAATTTTTACGAATTTTTATTCAATTAATTTTAAAAAGATATCAATTTAAGATCGAAATTGGCTCTGGTATTATAGGTACCGTGAAACTCAGTCGCGCACACCTTATGCGCTTATCGAAAAATGACGCAAAATCTGTTGTGGCCACTTTACATTCGGCTCGGGGACGACTTCGTTGTTTTGCGTTTTACGTCATAGCTCTCTAGTAATACACCATCTTAATCCATTATAGGGAAATGTTAAAGAATAAAATAAAATATTAGTTTTATTAGTTTAGTTATGATAATTTTATGCCTGTTTTGAATTTGTTTAGGTGTGACGTGACATTGAGTTGGGGGGGGGGGGGAAAACAATTGGTGGGAACAGGGGGGGGGGGTCTGAAAAGGTCATTTTTCGTGACGTAATTTACGAAGCTCAGAAGCTAAATATCAGTTCTACGAAGATCTTAATCAAACAATAGCCAGCATACCCAACAACGAAGCAATTTACCTTTTGGATGACTTCAATGCAAGAGTAGGAAGCGATCACATGGCCTGGCCAACCTGCCTCGGTCATTTTGGAAGAGGCAGGATAAATGAAAATGGGCAGAGACTATTGGAACTGTGCTGCCTACATGGACTATGTGTAACTAACACCTACTTCAACTGTAAGGCTATCCACCAAGTGTCATGGAGGTATCCCCACTCTAAACACTGGCACCAGTTAGATCTCTTAATCACAAGACGCACACAACTGGCCAGTGTCCTCCTCACACGCAGCTACCACAGCGCAGACTGCGACACAGATCATTCCTTAGTGACTAGCAAGATAAGGCTACAGCCAAAGAAACTGTATCACACCAAAAACAAGGGTAAACCACGCATAAACATCTGCTCCACCAAAAACCCTGAGAGAACAGAAGTATGCACCCATAGTCTACAAGAAGCTCTTATACAAACGCCACCAATGGATACTATTGAGTCCAAATGGTCACATTTGCGGGACACTATCTATAACTCGGCTATCACGGCATTTGGAAAGAGAGAACGCAAAAGTGCAGATTGGTTCGAGGCCCATTGGCAGGAAATGAAACATGTCACCGATGCAAAAAGAAAGGCCCTCTTAGCTTATAAAGACAGACCTTGCCCAGCAACTCTACAATCGCTTAAAAGCGCCAAGACAAATGCCCAGCAGGCAGCTCGCCACTACGCTAACACATACTGGCTCAATCTAAGCTCCAGCATACAATCAGCTGCTGATAGAGGTGATGCAAAGTCAATGTACGAGAATATAAAGCAAGCAACAGGCCCTCTGATCTCCAAGACTGCGCCCTTAATGTCCAAATCAGGGGAAATTATTACTGATCGTGATAAACAACTTAAGCGGTGGATAGAGCACTACTTGGAAATATACGCAACGATAAACCAAGTCTCAACCGCTGCCCTGGACGATATCCCAGACTTGCCGGTCATGGAGGAGCTTGATACCCTACCCACAATAGAAGAGCTACGTAGAGCCATCGATTGTCTCGCCAGTGGGAAAGCCCCGGGCAATGATGGTATCCCACCAGAAGCTCTCAAATGTGGAAAAGGAGTACTATTACGGCCCTTGCACGATCTCCTTACTCTGTGCTGGGAACAGGGACAGCTACCACAAGAGTTGAAAGATGCAAACATCGTTACATTGTACAAAAATAAAGGAGACAAGAGTGACTGCAACAACTATCGTGGAATCTCCCTCCTCAGCATAGTTGGAAAGGCTTTCGCCCGAGTTGCATTAACACGCCTACAGACCCTAGCATTACGTGTACTCCCAGAATCGCAATGTGGTTTTCGCGCCGGTAGGTCAACCATAGACATGATCTTCTCTCTGCGCCAGCTGCAGGAGAAATGCAGGGAGCAACATATGCCTTTATACATTGCGTTTGTCGACCTCACTAAGGCTTTTGATCTTGTCAGCAGAAGCGGCCTGTTTCAGATCCTCAAAAAGATAGGCTGCCCTACACGACTGCTTAACATCATCAAGCAGTTCCACGAAAACATGCAGGGCACAGTGTGCTATAACGGTGCCGCCTCAGAAGCTTTTCCAGTGAGTAGTGGAGTTAAGCAAGGTTGCGTGCTGGCTCCTACTTTATTTGCAATCTTTTTCTCCATCCTACTCCAGTATGCCTTTCAGAACAACAGCGAGGGGATATACATCCACACTAGAGATGACGGCAAATTATTCAACATTGCCCGCCTTAGAGCTAAGACTAAAACAAGAAAGGTCTTGCTGCGAGAGTTCTTGTTTGCGGACGATGCCGCTTTGGTATCTCATACAGCTTACGGCCTGCAGAGCCTCGTATCCAGCCTATCCGCTGCCTGCAAAGAGTTTGGCCTGACAATTAGCCTAAAGAAAACTAACATTATGGCACAGGGCGCTGACTCCCTCCCCACTATCGCCATCGACGACTGCGACTTGGATACTGTTGACAGATTCACATATCTGGGATCCAACATATCGAGCATGCTCTCAAGGGAGGATGAGATTAGTGGGAGGATAGGGAAGGCCGCAACTGTTATGGCCAGACTGAAGAAAATAGTCTGGTCAAACGCCAAACTAACAACAAGAACTAAGCTGCAGGTGTACCAGGCCTGCGTACTGAGCACACTTCTGTATGGATGCGAGTCGTGGACCACATACTCTAACCACGAAAGAAGGCTCAATGGCTTCCACCTCAGATGCCTGCGCCACATCCTTGACATTAAATGGCAAGACAAAGTAGTCCCAGCCATGTTAATCCAAAGACGCCTCCGCTGGCTTGGACACGTCAAGCGAATGCAATCTGGTCGCATACCAAAGGACGTGCTATACAGCGAGCTGGCGACAGGGAAAAGGTCAGTTGGACGGCCTCGTCTGAGATACTTAGACATATGCAAAAGAGACATGAAGTCCTCTAACATCGACATCTCAAACTGGGAGGAGTTGGCAGAGGATCGATCCTCATGGCGGGGCATCGTGAAGGCAGGATCACTACATGCCGAGGATCAAAACAGGGCGGAAACAGCTGCAAAAAGAGCGAGGAGGAAGGCCGGTAAATACTGCTCCACCGCATTCGTGGGTGGGAAATGTAACAGAGACTGCCATTCGAGGATTGGTCTCACCAGCCACACCAAGAGCTGCAAGCAATAAAGATAATCTATCGTCTCCCGCAGAAGGAAAGATGCCATACAATTTACGAACGACCCTTAACCAATTTATTTAACTTGAATTGAGTTGTGACTGTCATGGTTGGACTTCTTACAGCTTATCTTTAATTCTCTTTTAAGTTAAATCTAACTTACCGATGTCCCAGAGATAAATAAGTATGGTGGCATAATTTGTAAATTATGTATTGACAACAACTAAAAATATTTTTTTTCAAAAACAAAAAAATAGATAAAGAAAAATAATAATACCTGTAATAAATTGATAAATAAATATATAAGTAAAGGAAGTAAGAAATAAAGATAGATGAACACAAAAAAAATTATTTAAATTTGATTAAAAGTTACAAGGGCAAGGGCTTGGGTAATACAAATCTGTATTTACTTTTACTTTTTTAGTATTAACGTTAAAGCCCGTTAACGCTCTAGCTAATTTTCAATGATACTGAAATAATGATAGTATCATGCAGGGTAAGCTAAGGAATATTAATATGAATATGATAATTGAGAAGGGATGAAAATCAGTAATTTCGTATGTGTGTTCTTGATTATCACCCGAAATGTTTCTCATCATCACAAAATTAACCTGAAAACATTTAAAATGTTACGGTTAAGGTTTAAAGAAAAACTCAATACCGATAACTATGAAAGAAAGAGCATTTGGGTGGGGGAGATAACAATTACTATAACCAGATCAATACGTTTTTTTTTTCTTTTCTTTTTCTTCTTTTGCCATGTTGGACAATATTGAGCTCATCATTTATTAAATTAACGTGTTAAATAAAATAGATAATTTAAAATGAAATTCATATTTAAAAAAACCCCAAAAATTTAGATCAGTTTTTAAAATAATTTATTTTTTAGAACAAATAAATTATAAATAAATTTTAATCTCCCCACTCTTCACTTATCTGGCTTCCACGACGCCATCTTGTTTTCGCAAACGTACACGATAGAGCTCTATCAAAAAAAAAAAATAAAGTAATTAAATACACGTGAAAAATGAGCGACGATCAAGGCGATGTTAAACTAGGTAACTAAACCAGTATATAATGATATTTACAGCAATACCAAATTTATATTTGCGTGGAGTGGAGTTTTCATTTAGTTCAACTACTAATCTAGCAAATGCGGTGAATAGTGGCGACTAGGTTCGGTTAGGTCAGGTGGTAGGACAAGCACAACTTGCTACAAGGCATAGGCGATATTATAGCTAAGTTACTTAAGAGCCGCCTATCCTCGGCCGTTATGTTACTCCTGTTGTTGGGCATACAGCCAGCGCTTACAAAAACCCCCCCCCCTGGGGGGGGGGGGGGGGGGGCTCTTTTAATCTTTAGCAATTTAAAAACTGTTTCAATGTTCAAAATCCATCTTTTCAGGCTGTCTGTGCCAAAAAGACCAGCACTTTTTACGAACTCGGCACTCACATTGCAAAAAAATTTATAAAAATAAACTATTTACTTTAATTGGATAAAACTATATTCTTGTAGAAAATCAAATAAGCTAATACAATATTTATAAATCAAACTGAAATTTCAACATTTATGCAATGAGCTATTCTGATTTGCATAATTTTAGCTTAAAATTTTTGGTTAAACTGAGAATAAACATGACTTCCTGGTGTAAATTGTGTGAATTTTTGGCTGTTGCAGATTTAGCGGCCCACGTTGACTTTGTTAAGGTTAGGCATAGGGATTGATTTAGGGTTCGGGTTAGGCTTAGGGATAGATTTTGGGTTCGGGTTAGGCATAGGGATCGATTTAGGGTTCAGGTTAGGCATAGGGATCGATTTAGGGTTCAGGTTAGGCATAGGGATCGATTTAGGGTTCAGGTTAGGCATAGGGATCAATTTAAGACGTAAAAGTGCGCGCATGGAAATAAACGCGGGCCGCGTTCTCTGAATTTACCTAATTTTTTAATGGATGAAGCATGAATAGAATAACTCGTGTTTTGGGAAATAAGGGCCATGGAGGCCCTCCAGACATCCCTGGCATAGAGTTCTACTCCTTTTCCTGCTCTCGGGGTACTTTTCGGTTGCTACAGACAGAGCAGTCCTATTCACCATTGTGCACCAAATTATGGTTTATTTGAGCTGTGTTACTGAGAAAGTTGTCTGCATACTTACTTATTTTATTATTATTCTCTCTCACAATCATTTTAATGATATTTTGTGTAAAAATTAGCACAATAAACTCAACTGGGGTGCTTATCCCATGAGGCATATTTATAGGCTCTATTTTTTCTAAAAATTCATAGGGGTAATCTCTATACAATTCAGAACCCCTAATCCTAAACCAAGAATTCACATTATCGTTAACATAATCATTTTGATTGTCTTCATTACTTTCTTGAATGTTTTCATCAGTGTCAGATTCACTGCGAGATAGCGAGAAATCAGAATCACTAAGCACAATTTGATCAGAGTCGCTGTCAGACATGCTAGAATTTCACGATATAACAATACACACACACGAAAATTTCTGCACACAAATAAATTTAGTTCACCATCAACGAACGCTGCCATTACAATGTCAGGATGTGCAGGAATACATACGAATAATTTTGATTCGCTGGTAAAACGCTAAGCCAGCTGATCGGGAGGCTCGATTTATCAGGGCCGATGGTTGGGATTTTTGTCTTTCTCGCTAGTCAACCTTGGGCAGATAGATTGGCCTTTTCATCTCCAGGGGGTTAAAAGGTCTTTCACTGAAGGCAGCGGCTATTCAGACCCGGTATCATAAGTGAGAATTTGGGTTTATTAAAAAATATTTGGTAATTTGGAGAGATAGTATCGCGGCCGCCATATTGGTTGCGGCGACCCACGAATGTATCTCCTAAATGTATCCCTAAACCTAACCTGAACCCTAAACTTATCCCTAACATGGGCTTTGACCCTATCGGAACCAGGGTTTTGATCCTGTCGGAACTAAGGACAAGACAAGACTCGCAAATGTCAGGGTACCATCTCTCCAAATTAGCCAAATGTTTAAAATATTATTGTAGGGTTTGTACGACAAAATATGGTATCAAATGAAAGATAATTGAATGGACAATATGTTTATAAATTTAATTCTTCAGTTTAACTAAAATAAACTACCACAAATGACATCCAAAAAAGCTGGGTATATTGGCGAGTTTAAAATAAATCATATTTCTTGTTTAATTTTTTGTGAACATGCTTTCAGCCTTCAGTCAGAAAATTGGCATGTACAGTGAAAAATGTAAAAAAAAAAAAAAATAGAGAGATCTCTTACGCTACTAACTATGTACCAATGGGGACTGTAAAAACCAAATAAAAAGAAAAGTTAGTGCTGTGCAATGTAGTGTTTTTGGATAAATTTTGAGTTGACAGTATAGGTTTTGCCAAGAGTTTTCTCACCCTAAGCGCAGTGACGTCACATTGGGGAATCCCAACACTGGACTTAGGGTGAATAGATGTATTCATTGAAGGACTTGGAAGATGTGTGTTATAACATTCCTGTTCTTTATTGAGCCTTACTTGCGTCATAAACAATACGGTTTATATGAAGTATATTAAAATGAAATTTTCAATTAATTTGTATTAAAATTCAACTTACATGTTTCAAAAGAAAGGAAATAAGAAACACATCCTTGCAGATTCCCCAAGTCCTGACACCGGTGAAAAAAAAGACTGTATTTTGATTAGTTGAAACCAAAATAACCGTATGCTGAGACTTAGATAACACAAGGAAGACTACTTCTTAAATTGCATTTGGAATAATCTTCTAGGAACTTTGGAGGGGAGACCCCTCCCCAAACCCCTCACCTCGCTTTAAATACCTAAATAAGAAACATAGAAATTCTCCGTGGAGGGGAGAACAGTACCTCTCCCCAATTTAAAAAAATAAAAAAACAATAACTGCATTATGTAAATACAAAAATTGAAATCTTTTTAGTATGGCACTGTAGACGGAAATGAACCTTGGGAACCTATATTATATACCGTAAAACACATTGTAGGCCTTACCGCTAACTCAAAGCCAGGCAGTGTTTTTTAACTAATACTGCCTGGAATGCATTTAATAAAGAATAAGCAAAAGTTTATACGTGAAAATATGAATTTGATGAGAAATTGTAAAAGCACCTGAACTGCACTTTTACCCATTTCTTATTACCTTCCCTCTCCCCTCTTCTTATCTTCAGTAATTATCGCAAACAAAGTCTAAACCCTTGTCACAAAGAAGTAATGGTGGTATAGATGTCATCCACATATTAGCACTTTAATTTAACCAAGCTGATATATACTGAATAGGATGAGAGTGCCTTAATTCAGGCTTTGGCCCTGATGCAGTTTTCTGTCTGTTTTAACTTTACATTTTTAGAGACCCCTCTCTTTGCAGACTCCTCATTTTAATCATAGTTTAAATGGCGTCAACAAAATGTAAGACCCCCCCCCCCCCCCCCCCGGGTCAAATTAATGCTTGAACACAGTTAAGGTGATTAGGTAGTCTTAGTGAAAATAAAATTCAACTATCCCTCTAAATCTAAATAGAGCTTGGCTTGATCAGAACAGAAACATACACTTTAATACTCTATCTCCAATTTTAAGAAAATTACGAATTATTGAAAACTCTGTACATCATCAAATTTTAGAGTACTGCTTGCTGATCAGAAATTATATTTAAATGGTAAAGCTGCAGCCTGGATATTTTTGTAAACTTTTAATAAGAAAAAAAGTCTTGAAATTGTGATCCTCCCTGTAATTCATCATTTGAGTTTGGAAAATTACTGTTAACTCAAAATAATGGGATTCAAAAAATGTTTTTGGTCCAAGTTAACATTTCTCACTTGCACCTTCCTTTAAAAACATTTAACAAAAAATCTCCCTTGAAAAAATGTCATTTCCATCAAAGTTCTGTTTGAACTAATTTCTGTCCAAGCAACGTTTTTAAAAATTGTGTTACTTTTTTTGGAGGTGAGACGTAGTAAAACAATCAATAATTAATAGGAAGTGCGAAATTAGTCAAATAATCCGTAGAGGGATGCCGAGTATAGAATAGGTAACTTTTTAGAAGGGAGGGACAATATTTTTAAAATTACTACATTGACTACATTTTCTGTTCTTAGAGGAGAACTCTCACTCTGAAAGAAAAAGAGACAAAGACAGAAAAAGGTCTCGTTCGCCTCGTAGAAGATCAAGAAGTCGTGATCGTGAACGCAAAAGATCCTCTAGATCCAAAGAGCGTAAAGTAAAGCGCTCCCGCAGGTAAGCTTGTTCATCATGCCTGAATTTATATTTTAACAAAGGTTTTAAAAATCATGTTCTGGTGTGTAAAAAAAAAAAAAAAAGAGAGAGTAATAATCTAATTTGTTATTTAATTTAATGTAATTATGATATAAATTTACTTTATAGTAAAGTAAAGCGCTCCCGAAGGTAAGCTTTTTCATCATGCCTAAATTTATATTTTAAAAAAGGTTTTAAAAATCATGTTCTGGTGTGTAAAAAAAAAAAAAAAAAAGAGAGAGTAATAATCTAATTTGTTATTTAATTTAATGTAATTATGATATAAATTTACTTTATAAAATGTAGATTATGTTAATGAGATAACTTAGTGGTAATTATATTAAAGCCTTACAAAAAATTAGGTATAGTCTTTTTAAAACACTTTCTTACATTTAATTTAAAAAGTAATTCCAATCTTATTTATCTTTCAGTCGTTCACCCAAGAAAACCAGAAAGAAGAGACCATATAAATATTGGGATATTCCTCCCCCAGGCTATGAACATATTTCTCCAGCTCAATACAAAGCCATGCAAGGTATTTTTTAAATATGTATTTATTGATTTTACTTGTTTGAAATAGAAGAATCCGTAAAATTCTGGGGAAATTTGAGCATTCTTTAATTGTAAATGGCCAAGTTACCATTATTTATTTTGGATTTCTTTCTCATAAAAACCATGACAAAGAAAACTATAAAATTAAATATTGGATATTTTAAAAAGATTAAGGGCTAAATAAATAACTAGGAAGAGAATAGAGTATTGGTGTGCCTGTATAGCCAAATGCTATTATTACTTGTTGTAGCGGCCGGCCAGATCCCGCAGGAACCTGTTGCTCAGGTACCCGCCGCAGTAGCCTCAGCAGACATTACTCAGGTTCCCGGCATGAGCTCGCTAAGTCGACAAGCACGCCGCCTTTATGTGGGAAATATTCCATTTGGGGTTACTGACGTGAGTGTTTGTTGATTGGTGTATTATTCAGTGCCTTGTTTGAAGTAAACTTTAAACAGATAATACTGAAAACAAAAGTTATTTAGTAACGGGTCAACAATGTATACTAGCAATCTGACATTGGTATTGCTATTTTGTAAACATTACTTCAAGCAGGGCACACTATTTCTTTTAATTGTTAAGATATAGGGCATATTTTGTTGTTTCTCTATCTCTTGTTTCCCTTTAGCTTCTGGCCAGATCCCAGCAGAGCCTACGACTGCCCCAGCAGTTGGGCCTACTAGTGCTGATGCCAGTGTCAATTATGCTGGTAGCTCCCTCAGCCGTCAAGCTCGCAGGTTATATGTGGGCGGTATTCCATTTGGGATGACCGACGTGAGTGCAGCCATGCTGCTGTGGGAAACAATAGATAATCAGAAACTTTTTTGAATACCATAATTTTTATAACAACCTACCATTAAAATATTTATTTTGTTAATTATAACAGTTATTGCTAGTTTCATTGGACGTAATGAATTTTTTATATATCATATTTTTTCCACAGTTTCATGTTGCCATATTTTTTTATTTTACAGAGGATAAGTGATTTTTTAAAAGCTTGTTACTGCCTTTTTAAAAAATCTAATGTTACCATAGCACATGGTTTTACAGTAATATTTGCATAATGTATATTTATTAATTGGAGAAATCATTTTTTTTTTTAAAATGGCAGGATTATTTATTTAATTAATTAAAAAAAAAACTGTTCAAAATGTCGCTTTACTTTATGTATTCATTCAGTACAGCTCTTTAAAAATACACAATTTCAGGAAGCTATGATGGATTTCTTCAACCATCAGATGCGTATAACAGGACTTGCTCAAGCAGAGGGTAACCCAGTAATAGCGGTTCAAATCAATTTAGATAAAAATTTTGCATTTTTAGAGGTAAGACTCGTTTTAATATTTTTCTTTATAGCATTATTTAGTTTCCAACAATTAATTCTTACTTAACATCAAAGCTATCAAATAAGGAAGTTACCATTCATCATATTTAATGGAATCTATAAATGTTAAAAATGGAACTTTTTTGTGTGTTTTTAGTTCAGATCTGTCGATGAAACAACGCAAGCTCTAGCATTTGATGGTATTAGTTTCCAAGGACAGCCATTAAAAATTAGAAGACCAAGTGATTACAAACCCTTACCTGGAATGGCAGAAAATCCAACTCTTGCTGTACCAGGTAATTATGGCTAACTTATTTTTTATTTAAACCAGTTATACTTTCTCTGGGGTGTTAATACAGAATGCATTTATAATACTTGAGAACAAGTGACTACTATTTCAATAGATTTCATTTCTTTTAAATTAATTTTTGATGGAAAGAACACATCAATACAGCAATACTGATAAAGTTCATAAATGTTAAAATAAAAAAAACACACTTCATCAAAAAAAACTAGTAGAATTTCACTTTTCATTTACATACTGGTACCATGAAATGAACCCAAGAATGAAAGATGGTGTGGTTTGAAAATATAAGTGGACAATTCTACACATCACAGTTTACTATGCTAAAAAATTCTGAAAAACCCATGAATCTATGTCCACTTTACAATGAATCGTGTAAGAAACTGTTGACCTGCATTCTCTTTATGTTGTTGCTCTTATATTTGAAAAAATTCAGAGTTATAAAATGACCCATGCAAAATATACTCCATGCACCTGACACGTAGAGGGTTAAGACAAACTCTGAAGCTTTTTAAAAAAAATTCAACTGTCAGATCTATTTACATACGTAGATCTCATATCTATATATCTACACATGTATATATAGAGAGAGATAGATAGATAGCAATATAGAAAGCTAAACACATTTGATAGAATTAGGAGTATCACTAATAACAAACACAAATTTTTCAGTTTTATCCTATTTTAGATTGATGTTGCTGTATGTTAATTTTAAAAGTGATATATTAAGGGAAATGTGCACATTGTTGAAATTAATATATTGTGCTAATGTCTTTATGTGATTGTATTATTGTGTTATAGGTGTTGTGTCAACAGTAGTTCAAGATTCTGCTCATAAAATTTTTATCGGAGGATTACCTAGCTATCTGAATGAAGATCAGGTAAGTAAAATAGAGTTTTCTTACAGGGACTAGCAACTTATGCTTTGATGTTCATGGTTCAGTGGTTTTCCAGAGACTGATGTCACCGTTTGGATTTCTTGAGGACATTGTGGAATGAATAGAAGACAACTTTGTTGAAAGGTTTATTTAGTTAGTAGGAAAGGTCTTCAACTGACTTTGTGGTTCCTGATTGCTGAAATAGGGTAGTGCTTGTGAGGTATTTTGATATTAACAGGTGTACCAATTCTATGTCTCCTTGCCAATTCTTGCTTTTTTGTCTTTCCCTAGCGTTTGTGTCTCCTTTGAAGTTTATCATTCACAGGCTCTTTTTGGGACCCTTGAGAATGTCTTAATGTTTCAGAACTTTTACCATTGAGCTGTGTTGGTGGGAAGTTGTTTTAAGCTTTTGGTGGATCTGCAAGATATTTTTTTCAGGACATTTCAGGTCTTTCATATTTGGGAGCGTCGAAGTCATCCAACTTTTCCCTACACAGATATTTCCTAGAATCTATCATTGTAAATTAAAAGAAATGCATGTTTAAATCTGTTAAAAGCAGTCAGCTAAATACATATTCTAAATGAGATAAAGGCACAAAAATAATTTTCATGTGCACAAAGTTAATTACTAAAAGCAAACTTGTTTTTAGTTAAATAAATAATATTTTAAAGATTGTTGTAGTCAGCAAAAAGATTAAAATTTTGAAATAAAGAAAGAACTGAATCATTAAATTGAAAGTAAATGAAATTTTTAATATTTTCCTATTGGACATAGAAAGATTTCTTTTTTTAAAAAAAGCTAAACAGGTGCTGTAATCATTTTTGGTAGTTTTTTCCTAAAACGTAAGTCATGCATTATCAAAACTTCTCAGAGCCTAAATAAGTCCCTTCCAGTTGTTGTTTTCAGCTATGACAGGTCCAGCCTAAACTCAAGTTTCAGGTTGTTTTTTCCTCTTTTTTTTTTCAAAATTCAACTTTTTTTTTCAGGTTACAGGTTTAATTTAGCATTGTAAAGGGAAAGTTCACTTCTGAATAAAGTAAACTGTAACTGTATAGTAAAATGTTCTGAAAAATAATCTGAAGATGATCACATCATTTCAACTGAAATATCAATTTTCTTGAATATGGCTTAGAAGACTTTTAAATATGCAGAATATTGAGTGTTAAGCCAGCAGTATTCAATTGAAAAACGAACAAATAAGGCACATATTGTGATATGATTTTTCAATGCAGGCTCTAAACGTTTTTCTTCTTGTTTCTTCCCCCTTTCATTCCCTAGCTTAGGGAAGAGGTTGAAAGTGCGTTAACTTACCCACTACATTGTATTACCACTACAATCTTACTTTTGTGTGTGGCCAACCAGGACACAGGCAAGTGCTATCACCTATGTATAAACGCGAAAAGAGTGGATAACATAACACTTCAGCAAAAATCAACTTTCCTAAAGTATTCACATGTCCGCATACAACCTGAAAAAAATAGAATAAAATTATTGGGTATTCAGAGGCATCAGCACAGTATGATAGTAATTTGTCTGTATCTAGAGCTGTCTTTCTCTGTTTCATAAATACTTTAAAATTCACTTCTGTTAAAATGGCTTTGTAAGTTTAAACAGGTAAGTTTTGAGGCTTCACTGTCAATCAGGGTTGACCAGTGATTATTGGATTTTTATGTTGTATTTGTCTCATTGTACCATAAGTTAACATCAAGGTAAGTAATAACTTAATTTACAAATACTCTCTCTTCTGAAATTGGAAACATTTTATTAATTCTTAGTAAAATTTATTTTTAACACATTCCCACTTTCTTGCCGTGACAACTTATCATTTCTTTAGCTAGTCATATATTGATTTATGAAAATGTTTATATTAGTATTTCTTTGTCGGTAGCAACCAACTTTTATTATGAAGGGAGATTTTCTTTGGAAACTTAAGTTCTGGGAGATTTTCTTTGGAAACTTAAGTTCTTTACCAGCTGAACATACTTTAAAACTCTTTTTTTTTTTTTTTTTGGCCTGGAAATATTTTATTTTTTGAAAACTAATGCATCCTACATATTGTATTCTTTTTGACAGGTAAAATTTTTTTTTTTTTTTTTTTTATTTTTGTATTTTTTTTAATTTTTTTTTTTTTTTTTTTTTTTTTTTGGCCTGGAAATATTTTATTTCTTGAAAACTAATGCATCCTACATATTGTATTCTTTTTGACAGGTAAAAGAACTGCTAGTTTCATTTGGACCTCTGAGTGCTTTTAACCTTGTTAAAGATAGTGCAACAGGTCTTACAAAAGGATTCGCATTTTGTGAATATGCAGATGTTTCTGTCACTGACCAGGTTAGTCAACGTCATCGTAAATTTTAAAAGATTAAGCTTAACCCTTTACTGGGCAGAGTGGCCGAAAACGTCTTTAGTACTGAACGGGCAAAATGTCTAAAAGCGTCCGTGACGACATATAGTTGTAAACTCGTGACCTCCGAGTCTTTGTGAGACTTCCTACTGTTTACGTCTGGATTTTCCGATAGCTGGATAGAGTGGGCGCCAGTTACAAGTATTTAGTCGATTATTTTTTGTGTGTAGTTTTAGGGGTTTAACAAAATTTTTTTTTCGAAATGGATTTTGCAGATTATTTGCCTATGATTCAAGTGATAGCGGAGATTTCGCTGGATTTAATTTAAGTGATATTGAAGTGCACGAATTTACTGTAAATTGGAACAAGATATTAATTATTATTTGTAATATTAGTGAAATCAGCATAGTAAGCGGTGTTGAATTTTACAAACTTCGATTTTGTGGCAGTGTTTGTAAATAGTAAATACATGACTCACAATCACAAACAATATGTTGTTTTTGCAAATATTTGTGTTCATATGAGGATTAATGGCAACATGTGGGGAAAATTATAAATCTGCATTCATTTTCCTTTATTTTGCTTTTTATTTCACAAAAATTTGTTGACTAACACCTTAGATTTGATTTTTTTTACTGTCACCCTAAATCTTACTTAAAACCGGAGAAGAGGTGCTGGAGATTCAAGAGGAAGTACCCCTGCCCCTTAAAGGGTTAAGGCTCTAAGTTAAAACTGTGATTTACAGAAAAAAAGTTTTAGGTTTTAACTACCAGAGAACTTTAAAAAAAAAGGTTTGAATGGAACTGGCACTTTGGAGCAGGGCCTTTTCCCCTGGAGCCAGAAAAAGTTCTTGCTGTCCCAAGTTTCAAAACTTTTAACATTAGTACTGGTAGTTTTATTTAAAGATACAAATTATATATTTTTGTAATTATGTATTTTGCTTTGAAAGACTAATTGTAATTCAGCTATTCACTATATTATTTACTAACTGAAAACTTGCCCTCCTGTCTAAACAAAGGGACATAACTCTGTTTTAAAATGTGATATTTAAAAGAAACTATATAAAACAAGCAATGTCATTGTTATTTCAGTTTTCATTAAAGATCAAAATTAATGAATTATTATGTTTGCTATTTAAAAAAATAAGGATATTTAGATAATAAATTTCTATAATATCCGAAGTTGATGTTGACTGTTGAAGATTACTCCCTGCTTTTTCAAAACTTCACAGACAGTCACCATGGTCACTAGCCAGCTCTAATATTTATTATCTACCAGGATGTGTAACTGTATTGATTTTTATAGTCTGTTTCAGATATATCTTCCACAATAACATGATCACTCTTTTTTTCTATATTAATTTTCATAAATTCTACATAGATCTGTTATATTGTTTCGTCATCTTAACTTGTTAGTCTAGTAAGCTTAGAGCAATGAACTTGGAAAGTCATGCTGAACTTAATCTCTCATGACTTTTTAACAAAAGAATATGCAAACATGATTTCCCCTTTTAAAAAAGAGCTTCGTTCACGAGTGAAGCAGTAAATTTTAGCAGAGACACCCTGAAAGAATATCATGTGATTATTAGCCTGACTTGCCACCACCCAGTATTTTAAGCAGGCCGGTATTGTAAGCAGGCCGTGGTGGTTATTTGGGAAATGACAGCGGGCGCTTAAGGCAGTAGAGGGTTAATCACAATTGTAGAGCAACTTTATGGATTACAGGAAGTAACTGAAACATTATTACATTAAAAGGTTTAAGAAAGAGAAAAAGCACCCCACTGATTCTCAAACATTTGAACCTTGCACAGAAACCTGGAATATAAAAAGTCCAGTACCCCCAAATTTTTGGATACCTTGTTACTATGTCACTAAAAGACATGGCCTCAGGACGTGCCGACTTATACTCCCGAAACAATGGCATAAATCTAAAGACAATTTATAATTTTGAAAAATCCCATTAAAATTTCCAAGGCTCTATTAAAACTAATTCATTTTCTGTAAATAAAGGGGATACTTAATATCTTTAAACCCTACCAAAGACATCCAGAGTACTTTGCAGAATTGGAGCTAACAAAATATGTCCGTAGCAGAGCTCAGCTAAAAAAAATTCTGCTTCACAACCCTGAAAATAACAGAATGTGAAACATTCACCCTTTCTTTTTCTTCCATCCCCATTTTTTTCAATATGCCTTTTTTATATATTTTACAAACATTTTTCAGGCTTGTGCAGGTCTGAATGGTATGCAACTTGGTGACAAGAAACTTATTGTGCAGCGCGCTAGTGTGGGTGCAAAGAATGCTCAACAGGTAAAGGATACAAATTATTTTTTATTTGTAGGTTTCATCCACCTATAGAAAATTTTGATTTTATATTTTGTCTTGTCTAACTTTAAATGTTTAATCAGGAAATATTTTTTAAAAATTTACATTATATACTTGATAAGCACTTTTGCTTTGAAGTGTTTAAGCAAATTTTTAATTAATACAATGGTATAACCATTCCATAAAACTTTAAAATACCCTATCCATGAAAAACCTATATAATTACCTGTTTCCATTTGTTATTTATCAGTTTATTATTGCAAGTCCATGAAATATTAACTGTAGTCTTTTGAATTTGAATTGCACTATATTTGTCAGATTTGTTGCATTCCTAAATTGACCCTTTCTCTTTAGCAAGCACCTGTGCAACTGCAAGTCCCGGGCCTCAACTTGAACCAAGGTGCTGGTCCTGCCACTGAAGTATTGTGCTTGATGAATATGATAACTCCTGAGGAATTGGTTGATGAAGATGAATATGAAGGTAGGAAAATAATATTTATGGAGGCTGAACTATTAATTTGTTGAACTTAGAGTTATTTTAGGTTACCTTTGATGCTCATTGCACTGCTTCTATATAATATTCTGTGAAACAGCATGTAGTATAAATGGAACTTGGAGAAAGTTACTAACTTTGGAATAATTGATGGGGCTTGATGTAAAGTGTATTTACTTAGATCAATATTGTTTTTAAAATGGGCCAAGTGTTGTATTATAATATTTGAAAGATTATCATGCACAGTTACTGAGATATTCAAAATACTTTAAATCTAGAGACTATTAAATCTGTTTGCTAAAATATTGCTGGAAATACATGATTTCATTGTCACCCAAATGTTCATAATAACTCTCCTTAAGAACTGTATCTTACAATCATGGATTTCAATTGCACAAAATCATATAAATGCATGTGTAAGTGTCTCTAATTATAAACCTTTATATTAATTTATATACATTATGATGTATTATAATTCTCAGACATTGTGGAAGATGTTAAAGAGGAATGTGGAAAATATGGTATTGTAATGAGCCTTGAAATACCAAGGCCTATAAAAGGAGTCGAGGTACCTGGTGTTGGAAAGGTAAGACTTTCATTGCAATTTATTAGGTTTGAGTTTGGCCAGAGAAAAAGCAAACCAATCTGCTTAAAAACAATCTAAAACAAATTTAGTGCAATGGAGTAACTAAAAATGTTACATATTTCCTTAGGAGGAATACATTTTAATATCCATAATTGTGCTATTGTCAGACTATTGAAATTCTCTGTGTAAACTAACGTAAATCAGATGTGAACTCTAAATTACATTAAAATTTTGACAGAATAACCTTTAAATGGATTTTTAAAAATCTTCTTCATCACTTGTTTTTTCACTTTAAAATTTCAAAGTGGTCCAAGAAGTGAGAGGTTGTGATTAAAATTAAAAAAAAAAAAATTATTGTAGGGTTTGTAAGACAAAATTTGGTAACAAATGAAAGATAATTGAATGGACTATATGTTTGATAACTTACTTCTTCAGTTTAACTAAAATAAACTACCACTAAATGACATCTGAATAGCATTTGTCTAATGGGACCCGGGTCCGAATAGCGACGATGCATTTCCAGTTCCATTTTGACTTAATGCTATTTGGAGGTCATTTGTGGTAGTTTATTTTATTTAAACTGAAGATGATACCAAATGTTGTCTTAAAAACCTACAATAATTTTAAAATATTTTTTTAATAAACCCAAACTCTCACTTCTCTGACCCGCGTCCAAATAACAGCCTTAAAATTTAGCAACCTTCTCTTAAAATTTTTTATGTACGCATGTCTTAATTTTTTTATTTTTCTTCTTCTTGATTTCACTCAGCCAAGTTAAGCATCCATATTACATTTCCGTTTTAAAAACCAAATAGGGATTCTCGATTTTAATTTGTCTCTAAAATTTTAACAATTGTTATTCCATTTCATTCAGATTTTTGTGGAGTTCAACTCTATCATAGAGTGTCAGAAGGCTCAAGCTGCACTTACAGGACGCAAGTTCTCAAATCGTGTTGTTGTCACCTCATACTATGATCCAGACCGTTATCACAGAAGAGAGTTTTAAATTTAAATGCAATTCATTTTAAAGACATTGTGGAACAATCAGCTGAAGATTGATATAATTTAAAAGCTGGCATTTGTCAAGATATTTTTAACAGAAGAAAAGTCAAGTATAAGTAATAAAAATGAATTTATGTGTTGAAATATGTTTTTTTTTTTTTTTTCAGGTGAAGCCATGTTAACATTTTTACTCGCTTTGACATAAATTTTGTGCTAAATATTCACATGGGTTTTTACATTTTTTGGGCTTTTATCATTACCAGAATCTTGATGATTATTTGTTGACCTTGACCAATTAATACTGTTCATGTGAGTCTTGAGTTTCTTGTGCCAGCCACAGTTTTAATCAGTTATCACATGGAATGATTTGTTTTTGTTTGAATTTCAAAATTGTTTTTTGTGACAAGGACCTTTTTAAAAAAAAAAAAAAACTATTTTGGCTATTAAAAAATACATCTTCAGCAAATTACCATTCACTGACAAGTACATCCTGTAATGAATATGGTCATTACCAGCCACAGTTTTAATCAGTTATCACATGGAATGATTTGTTTTTGTTTGAATTTCAAAATTGTTTTTTGTGACAAGGACCTTTTTTAAAAAAAAAAAAAAACTATTTTGGCTATTAAAAAATACATCTTCAGCAAATTACCATTCACTGACAAGTACATCCTGTAATGAATATGGTCATTAACTGCCTATCAGCAATATTTTCATCAACTTTTTTTGTTGGTTAATTTTTTTGTCTACCGGTATTCATTTCTCATTGCATTATTAATGATTATTTCACAGATATTAATGTTTGAAGCCCAAATTTGGCTATTCCAATCACTGCAGTTTTAACAAAAGTGTATTAAATATATATATATTTTTTAAAATGATCTAATGAATTGTTAGCTAATTGTCAATGAGATAATTATAAGTAAGTACTTTTTTTCATTATTTACCTTAAAAGCCCTATAATTTTGATGAGGCTCTTTGTTATTTTTCTTGATCTTATTAATCATGACTTGGTGTAATCTAAACAATCAAAACATGGGTTTCATCAAGTCAATCAGCTTATGTTGGATTCGTCTCAGTGGATGAATGGAGGTTTATTTGTTTGCAAGTTGCTGCTGTAATTATGGCAATTGATTTTCTCCCAATTCTTAGAGCATAATTGTAAGGTTGACTGAATTAAAATGATGAGAAATTGAATCTGCTTTAGTCTTTTTATTATTTTTTAATTTACATATAAAAGTTTATTTCAATAGTTCTAAAGATCATGTGGAGACAGAGCTCTAAACTCTTAATTGAGAGATACAGTTCTGAAATTGTTGGAGAGGTAATGTTCTGAAACTCTGGGAGAGATTGCTCTGAAACTGTTGGAGAGGTAATTTTCTGAAACTCTGGAAGAGATTTTTCTGCAACTGTTGGAGAGGTAATGTTCTGAAACTCTGGGAGAGACAGTTCTGAAAGTGTTGGAGAGGTAATGTTCTGAAACTCGGGAGAGATAGTTCTGAAACTGTTGGAGAGGTAATATTCTGAAACTCTGGGAGAGACAGTTCTGAAAGTGTTGGAGAGGTAATGTTCTGAAACTCTGGGAGAGATAGTTCTGAAACTGTTGGAGAGGTAATATTCTGAAACTCTGGGAGAGATTTTTCTGCAACTGTTGGAGAGGTAGACTAATGTTCTGAAACTCTGGGAGAGATTTTTCTGCAACTGTTGGAGAGGTAATGTTCTGAAACTCTGGGAGAGACAGTTCTGAAAGTGTTGGAGAGGTAATGTTCTGAAACTCTGGGAGAGATAGTTCTGAAACTGTTGGAGAGGTAATATTCTGAAACTCTGGGAGAGACAGTTCTGAAAGTGTTGGAGAGGTAATGTTCTGAAACTCTGGGAGAGATAGTTCTGAAACTGTTGGAGAGGTAATGTTCTGAAACTCCGGGAGAGATAGTTCTGAAACTGTTGGAGAGGTAATATTCTGAAACTCTGGGAGAGATTTTTCTGCAACTGTTGGAGAGGTAATGTTCTGAAACTCTGGGAGAGACAGTTCTGAAACTGCTGGAGAGGTAATGTTCTGAAACCGAAGCACTTACCCCTGCCAATCTGTGTGCAGAATGAACTAGTTTAAAGAGTAACGTCTCACACCGAATTCTTTTTCCATCATAATTAAAACCTGTAGAGGAAAAAAACAACCTCTAACTTAGCCTCTATATGCGGTACTATACTATTCGACGTCTGCTTTTTCGGATATTATTATTAGCTAGATATGGAACCAGACATTAAAACGAAAACAGCACTAGATTTGAAAATAACATCGATACCTTCATATTTCAGTGTTAACAAAACCATATCGAACAGCCCTTCCCCGAGTATGTTTTAGAATACCAGATATATTTATGAATTTTTAAAAAAAAAATCTTCCTAGTGTATTATTTCAAAAAAGTCTGTCAACATAAATGTAAAGAAAATAACGCCTACCGGTGCCAAAAAGTCACGAATCTTGTTTCTTCATATTTTATAATTACCCACGAATAATTAATAGTTTTATGATCACATCCTTCTGATTTGTTCTTTTTTTTTTTAAATTTTTAAAATCCTGTTAATTTGACCAGAGTAGTTTGCTAAACTAACAAACACATAATTAGGTGAGGGTCTGATATTACTCTCTTATGACCCCGGCTAGTAAATTGGCTATCAACTCCATCTGTTGAGCTGAGCCATACAACATTTTCCTCACAAAGAATCCTCCAACCGCCCTGGCTTCCCCCGGGAGATCTAGTGAGGGACATTCGGTCAACAGTTTGCTAAACTAAATGGATCCAACTGAAGCCTACGATTTGTAATGCCATAACCGACACGTTTTATTTCTGAAACTCTATATATAGCAGAGGCGTAGCGAGGGTACAAAATTTGCGCCCGGGGACAAGATCCATTTTAAAGCGCCCCTTTTTCTTTTTTTTCAACTCTCAAACCCATTATTTTCATCAATAAAATAATATCAAAGCACATTTTGGTGCGCCTAACTAGCTGGCGCCCGGGGACATCTGTCCCCCCTGCCCCCACCACGCTACGCCTCTGATATATAGTCACAGCCTACGCATATTTTTCTTCTAACCATAAACCAGCATTTCCAAAAGACCACATCTAAAGATTATTGCATTGCTCGGCCCTGTGAATGGAGGCTGAATTTTATCATTGCCGATACACAATATTTTTTATCTGGCCGCTGAATGGATTTTTGTGTCTTCTGTACTCAGAAACCAATGGACTGAACTTGAATTTCCATCGTAAAGACCGCTCCACAGTTATGCCCCTGTTTTGAGACTTGCCATCAGTTTTCCATTCTGCAGGATTCTAAAGCTGAATCTGAAAGAGAGAGTATTTTTGAAAAAGAATTCATGTGTTTAAAAATGAGCAAGGAACATTCAATAATACTGATACTTTAAAAAAAAATATAAAAAAAAAATTAAATATCATTTCCACGTTTATCATCCGGATTAATGCAACGTATTGTAAAGGATACACAGGGGACAATAGAATGACATTGAATGCCGTGAAATGTTTTCACATTGAGAGGGGGTGCGGTGAGGCCAAAATAAAAAAAAGGCAAGAACCCCTGATCCACATAATCGAGCCATCTTCTCGCTCACCATCCACTCAACGAGGACTTAACGCTTCAGTGATCCTTAAAATCGCAAAGATACATATCAATTCATCCACTCATCCATTCTAATTCATCCATGCATTCGCCTGACTTATTGCGTTGTATTTAAGATATGTTCTGTTTAAATGTTGAAATAAGTCAGTCAGTCTCAACATGCTGCTTGCCATAATGTTAAACTAAGCCAGTCAGTATCAACATAATGTTGAAACAAGCCAGTAAGTCTCAACACAGTTTTGAAATAAACCATTCAGTATCAACATAATGTTGAAATAAGCCAGCAAGTATCAAAATAATGTTGAAATAAGCCAGTCACTATCATCATGCTGTTGAAATAGCCCAGTCAGTATCATCATTCTGTTGAAATAGTCAAGTCAGTATCATCATGCTGTTGAAATAGTCCAGTTAGTATCATCATTCTGTTGAAATAGTCCAGTCAGTATCATGATGCTGTTGAAGTAGTCCAGTCACTATCATCATGCTGTTGAAATAGTCCAGTCAGTATCATCATGCTGTTGAAATAGTCCAGTCAGTATCATCATGCTGTTGAAATAGTCCAGTCACTATCATCATGCTGTTGAAATAGTCCAGTCACTATCATCATGCTGTTGAAATAGTCCAGTCAGTATCATCATGCTGTTGAAATAGTCCAGTCAGTATCATGATGCTGTTGAAATAGTCCAGTCACTATCATCATGCTGTTGAAATAGTCCAGTCAGTATCATGATGCTGTTGAAATAGTCCAGTCAGTATCATCATGCTGTTGAAATAGTCCAGTCAGTATCATCATGCTGTTGAAATAGTCCAGTCAGTATCATCATGCTGTTGAAATAGTCCAGTCACTATCATCATTCTGTTGAAATAGTCCAGTCACTATCATCATGCTGTTGAAATAGTCCAGTCAGTATCATCATGCTGTTGAAATAGTCCAGTCAGTATCATGATGCTGTTGAAATAGTCCAGTCACTATCATCATGCTGTTGAAATAGTCCAGTCAGTATCATCATGCTGTTGAAATAGTCCAGTCAGTATCATGATGCTGTTGAAATAGTCCAGTCAGTATCATGATGCTGTTGAAATAGTCCAGTCACTATCATCATGCTGTTGAAATAGTCCAGTCACTATCATCATGCTGTTGAAATAGTCCAGTCAGTATCATGATGCTGTTGAAATAGTCCAGTCAGTATCATGATGCTGTTGAAATAGTCCAGTCAGTATCATGATGCTGTTGAAATAGTCCAGTCAGTATCATCATGCTGTTGAAATAGTCCAGTCAGTATCATGATGCTGTTGAAATAGTCCAGTCAGTATCATGATGCTGTTGAAATAGTCCAGTCAGTATCATGATGCTGTTGAAATAGTCCAGTCAGTATCATCATGCTGTTGAAATAGTCCAGTCACTATCATCATTCTGTTGAAATAGTCCAGTCACTATCATCATGCTGTTGAAATAGTCCAGTCAGTATCATCATGCTGTTGAAATAGTCCAGTCAGTATCATGATGCTGTTGAAATAGTCCAGTCACTATCATCATGCTGTTGAAATAGTCCAGTCAGTATCATCATGCTGTTGAAATAGTCCAGTCAGTATCATGATGCTGTTGAAATAGTCCAGTCAGTATCATGATGCTGTTGAAGTAGTCCAGTCACTATCATCATGCTGTTGAAATAGTCCAGTCAGTATGATGATGCTGTTGAAATAGTCCAGTCAGTATCATGATGCTGTTTAAGTAGTCCAGTCAGTATCATGATGCTGTTGAAGTACCGTAGTCCAGTCAGTATCATGATGCTGTTTAAGTAGTCCAGTCAGTATCATGATGCTGATGAAGTACCGTAGTCCAGTCAGTATCATGATGCTGTTTAAGTAGTCCAGTCAGTATCATGATGCTGTTGAAGTACCGTAGTCCAGTCAGTTTCATGATGCTGTTGAAGTAGTCCTGCCAGTATCACCATGCTGTTGAAGTAGTCCAGTCAGTATCATGATGCTGTTGAAGTACCGTAGTCCAGTCAGTATCATGATGCTGTTGAAGTAGTCCTGTCAGTATCATCATGCTGTTGAAATAGTCCAGTCAGTATCATGATGCTGTTGAAGTAGTCCAGTCAGTATCATCATGCTCTGATCAAGACTACAACTGGTTAAATCACAGAAACTTATTAATGACTACAATAATTTATATGGTACAAACTGTTGCAACACCAGGGTAAGTGTAATATTACATTGATGTCAGACTTATGAGGACAGTAACCGAAACGTCTCTCAAAGACCTCAGGATATCATTGTGAGGACCAAGTTTAATCACTCTCAGTGAAGAGAATAAGGCCTACCAATCACAAGCTACAGGGAAGATCATAGGAAAAGCAAAGGACAAACGAACAAGTATTTTGAACGCATTCTTCCAGTTTCAGTTCCTTCTAAATGACTTCAGAAAATGAAGACAAAAAAAAGAAAAAAAAAAAAAAGAAAAAAAAAAGGAGGGGAAAAAAGAAAAAAAAAAGGTGGGGGGGGGGAAGAAGATGGGTAGAGAAAGAAGAACAGAAGAGAGGGGCAAGATGGG